GGAAGGGCCTAGGAGAGAAACAGAGAGGATTTGTGATTTTGTTTTCTCGAGTCTGATTGGCTGATGGAACACACGTTTTATCCAGACTCCTTTTGCTTTTGCCTTCATGCTTTTATAGGTTCCCTCACTGGCTGGCCTAAGGCTACTACTTGTTTGGACAGCAAGAATTTAATTTCCATTTTGAATTTTCATTTTTTTTTGAAGAGAGAGGTTTAGGGATTGCAATCTGTTGAGCCATGGGTTTTAGATTGACTGTTTATCAAGCAATAATATAGTTTAATATACCATATTCATTTGAGGGAATAAATCACATTTTAACATTGGAATGTAAATGTATATGATATGTTTCAATAGGGCATGAATACATGTATACTTAAATAATGTATTTATTACTTTTGCTTTATCTCAAGATTTTCATTAATTAATGTTTGTAACAAAGTATGTCAATAATTATATAATTTATTGATAGAATGTTAAATTTTTAATTTTAATTATTATATACAAATTAAATTAAATGGGTTTTGATGCTGTAAACAAACTATTTAAGCATACTTCCTAAATTTTTTTAGCTTGGACAGGCTTGTGAATTTTCATGTATCGGTCTGATGAAGACAAAAGTTTATTAATGACATGAAATTCCTGTACTAAAATCAAAGGTGAGTATCAAAGCATTATTGTTCATTTTGATTCTTCTACTCTGTCTACATTTATATTCTTATGATCTGTCTAATGCTAACTATAGATTGGCAGCGTCACATCGTAGGCCGCTCGTGGCCATTGGATGATAAGTAGGGAAATAAGGGCCTGCTCTTTTCCTTTTTTCTTTTACAGAAGTGTAGATGAGATAGATACGATGAGAAATTAAGAGATAAGATGTGGGAAGTTGGGTTGCGGCCATGTGTGATGGAGATTGGGTTTCTAAGATTTCAGGTTCACTGGTCGCCACAACTTTTCTTACAATTCCTGGTCTGCACAACTATGCTTACTTTTCAAGATGTGGAGCAGCTTTGCTTGGTTCTGTAATAACAATAATTACTGTTAAACTGTCTTGCTTTGCGTACCGTTGAGCAACTTGATGATAAGTCCTCCCATGACAAAGAGGGATGGCTAATTAAGGAGGACAAAAATTATCACATTCAATAAATTTTATTGAATTAGTACAACGATATATATTTCAAAAGTAATTAAAAAAATTAAAACATATATATGATAATATTAATCTCATTGTGAATTTAAAAAATTATATTATTTGTGTAAAAACAATTTTTTTAAATACTTATATCACATAATAATTATAATTTTTATCAATACGATATTTATGAGATATATATGTATTTCAATAAATTAATATATATTTTAAAATATTATACGAAAAGTTTCACATTATATTAATAAATTTAGATAAATTTTTTTAAAAATGTATAACATTCGTTTCGACTGTTTCTTTGATTTTAAGTTACTTTTAAGTTAAGATGAAATATTAAAATGCTTTCGAATATTTCATTTCGTAATTTGATAGAAACAATAAGAATTACGTTAAAAAAAAATAAAGAAAAAAATTTGGCATTTGGGCAAGTTGCACAATTCTCCAACCGACTTGGGGCAAATTGTTTCACAGCTCTAGCCTCTAGGAGTGATAGAGTTGTCTATCTAATTTCATTATCTTCTAGCATATCTAAATGATCTAATCCGACAATCTTGCCTTGTTGCCAAAGGAAATGCCTACATATAATATAATTAATTAACTTTAATTTGCAAATATTTTCAAAATTTCTCTTAAATCCATGGGACAAGTACCTGCAATATTGTGTTTTACAAAAGCAATAACAGATGTCCAATTAATAGTCAGACTCGTGCTTAATGGTCTTAGAAATAATTTGCTTAGTGTGAAGATTAGGGTTTTCCAACTAGCTAGGGAAGCTTTAGCTTGAAATGTTTCTTTGTTTTCATTTTAGTACATGATTGTAGTGCATTCCAAGAATCCTGCACAAGTTGTCGCTCATAGATTTTTGAGCTGTGGCTTGGCAACACCGTTCAAGAAATTACTCTGATTTGTTAAAACAAATTAACCATCTTTTCGTCCTGAATCATATACTAATCTTTTAAGAACTTTTCCAAAAGCTTGGAGCACTGCAACCAACAAAACTAGGAGACATATTTACTAGGAAAATGTGTAAAAATTTCAATGAAGTTAGTAAGAACAGGTTAAACTTGGCACTAATGAGTTTCCACCTGGAGGCAGTAGGATCTTTGTATCTGATTCTTCCCCCAGCAAGCTGGCCAGTTCGTGGAATGATCAAATTCTTTAATATTATCAGTACTTTATCAGCATTCAGCTGCATACTTGAACCAAAAGCAAAAATGATCAATGATATATATATATATATGTATATATATATATATATGTGGAACTAGCTAGCTAGGAGGGAGGCTGCTGTTATAAATAACTGGTTAGATTACGTTTGCATGATCCTGAACGAGTGTCAAACAATTATATCGATGAAAACTAATGTACTCAATCAGTTACTACGTTTACTTTGCTGGTTTAAGATTTTCCAAGTGGTTTTGGTCTTATATAAGATACAGAAGAAAATATCTTTCATATCAAAGAAACCTGAGTGGGGGCAAGGCGAGTTGGAACAGTACATTAATCACCAAACCAGGAGAAATTAGACCAATTATTAATCAAATTCAACAATCTTGACGTGATGTCAAAGCTACTGGGCACGGCCTATATGTGATTATAAATAAGGTGCTCGTGCTGCTTTTGCTTTATTATGAAAAAAGATGCAAAAATCTGTGTAAAAGAGATCAATCCAAAGCAGCTGTTTTTAATCCCCGGGTTAGTGAGAGTCTAAGTCATATAATAAAATTGGGTGCGCTTGGCTGGGTGTTCAAGCAAACTATGTTATCTACCAATTACACCCAACCTAAGTTAGGATTAGACAGGGTAGAAGCCTAAGTTCAGCTGTGTCCAACAAGAAATATAGAACAACAGCTGGCCCATGCGAGCCCCCAATTCTTTTCGGTTTCTTACTGTTTTTTCCACAATAAAAAGGGAACAAAATGAACTGTTCGGATTTCATACGGTTAAGCGGCGCATGATAAAAAAATAACAATAATAATTTAAAATTAAAAATTTTTATATATAAATTTAATAAAAATAAAAATTTCATATTTCATATTTGACATATTTATAAAATTTATTATATGAATATTGTTATATTTTATACGTATTTAATAAAAATAATAAAAAATATAAATTACCATATCTAAACAATAATATCTTTGACTGTAACCGGTTGATAAAATTAGCATCATGATCATGATCATAATTGTTGTTGTTATTATTATTATTATTATTATTATTATTATATATATAAAATGTTTACGCTACTAAGTTGAAAAGGGAACAACAATTGTGTGTATCCAACGTGGTGTTGCTTAGGCTATCCCCATATTTTAATATGGTCTATCTTTGAAAGGAGAAAAGAAAAATCAGAAAACCACAAAGACAAGGTAGATTATTACATATAAGATTATTATAGAAATTAATAAATCATTGAAGAGTTCATTGTAGACAATTACCTTCTATTTTTTGTGATTTCGTTTCTTTATACCTACAAATCAATAGGTAATCGTTTCTTTTACTATAGTGAAAATCAAATATATAATTATTAATTTACTTTGTAATGAGTTGAGAGTATAATATATTTATTTCATAGGATTATTATTTTTTTTTTTTGGAAGAGCCAACAGATAAAAATTATCAAATGTAAAATTGCATATGGTTTGATTGCTTACCTATAAAACTTCCCACTAATAATTTGTTTTTTTTAATATTTAAAATTATCAAAATTTAAATTTTAATCACCGTAATTAAAAATTTAACATTTCATAAATAAATAATGCAACTGTGGACAGCAACTTATCAATTGCATAAGCATGACAAACTTAATTTCATTTGAGAATGACAGTACTAATTTTATAAAACGGTTAGAATGGGAAAAACTTGGTTTTCAATGGGTAATTAGTAAACTAACTTTATATGTGAAAGTGAAATAATGCAGAAAAAAATAACCTCAGAATCGGTCAAAAAAACTCATTTCAGATTCATAAGATCCCCTTATTCACGCATGGCTTGTGATTAAATTAAATCAGTCACATGTGATGACATTGAAAAATAAATATATACTAAAGGTTTTATAACTTTTTTAGACCTCAACTAATCCAAATTTGCTACAATTTCAGTAAAACGAGAATTTAGCAATGAAAATTTAAGAAATTTTGATGAAATAACATGTTATGTAGGATAGGGTTTCAAAAAATAAATAAAACCCGAAACAAAATTGCAGGTATCAATAAAACTTTATATTATTCGTGCCTGCTGATACAGCAATATGCTCGGGCAAACCGAAAACGTGTGCTGGTTTCATGGCAGAATAAAATCCAAAACAAAATTGCCTAACAGTCGCGTGAAATGTTGATTAAATGTTGATTCTTAATTTTAATGTTAATGGTTTAAATTCTAAAAAATTTAAATAAAAAAGTCTTCATATTATTTTTGTATGCTGAGACTAGTTATATGCTCTGGCGAACCGAAAACGTGTGCCGGTTGCGTGACAGATTCAATCAATAATCTAATACCGTTTTGTCTTGGATGAGATTTTTGGAAATTTCCTCTTCCAACCATGGTTAAATCAACCAAGCTTTCAAATTTCCTGCTCTGCTGAAGCCTTTATATATGGAAGTTGTCCATTGCCTTTGAACTAACATCTTCCAAGCTTTCTTAGGTGGCACTAATTGGATGGTCGATTCCAACACTTCTTAATCATTTCTCTTTGATATCCTCTCTTTTCTTCGTCGTCCTTATCCTGATTTCGAGCTGAAATTAAGGATCTGGTTCGTTCTCTTTCTTGATTTGTATACGTAATTCTTTTTCTCATTTTGCATAAATGGTTATCATCTTTGCATGGTTCGTTTGGAAGGGTCTTAATAAATGCGCGCTGTCACTTAGTTTCCCTTGTTAAAGTTTTAAAGATTGATATATGATAATTCCTGATCATCCGGCTTGTTGTTTATCATATGTACTGTAGAGAACATATTATGGCCAACAATAGAGTTGGACAAAACGGGCTTGCCAAAATCCAAACGCAAAAGAAGGAAGCTGATGTTTGCCACGATGACAGTGCAGCTCCTGTTAAAGCTCAGACGATCGACGAGCTTCATTCTCTTCAGAAGAAGAAATCTGCTCCCAATACACCCCTTAAAGATACTCAGGGTGTTTTTGCTAACAACATCACTGAAATAGAACGCCAAAAGCAGCAGCTACAATCGATCAGGTACAAAGAAATGAATCGTTCTAAGCCTCTAATTTTGGTTGAATAGGCGCACTAATATGATTTGTTTTGGCTTAATTTTGCTGGAAAATCATGGAACAGTGCTTCATTGGCATCCCTGACGCGAGAGACTGGTCCAAAGGTGGTGAAAGGTGATCCTGCGAGGAAGCTTGAGACTCCCAAGGAGGCCCATGTTCACCATTTTAGTCCGACGATCGGTGTTAGTGATAGCGCCCTCAAGTTTATTCACGTCCTTTATAATCTTTCTCCTGCTGGTATACATATTTTTCTTTCCTTAATTGGTTTTTTTGTTATATTTTCAAGTTTCAACTATGCCTTTAGGGGCTTTATCCATCCAGAAAAGTCCCAAAATGTGCCAATATCATTTTCTGTTTTAGAAATCAGTGATCTGAATTTTACGAAAGATTGGGATATCTTAACCGGATCTTTTCTTGAATATGGCACAGAACTTTACGAGCAAGCTATTAAATATGAGAAAGGGTCATTCATAACTGCAACCGGTGCTTTAGCCACACTTTCTGGGGCAAAGACAGGTCGATCACCCAGAGACAAACGTGTAGTCAAGGACGAAACCACAGAGGATGAACTTTGGTGGGGAAAGTAAGTTGGTTAATCGGCCACTGCCAATCTCAGTATCTGATCACCTTCTCAACGATAAACCCTTTATCATTTTCTTAATTTAGTTTCACAGTAATCTATATTCCTTGACAGGGGCTCGCCCAACATCGAAATGGACGAGCATACCTTTATGGTGAACAGAGAAAGAGCTGTCGATTACTTGAATTCCTTGGACAAGGTATTGGTAGTTATGTACACTTACACGTAATATCCGGCTTTAATTATAGGAATCTGATTCAAGACTTATTCTATATTTGATCAAGTTGTCGGTTGCTTACTGCTTTAACTAGTCCTACTTGCACTTCATTCTCCAACATGCCAAAGCAACTGGATTTCATTGAATAATATAATCCGTTCATGGGGAAGACGTGTTAACGGCTGGCAAAGAGCCCAGTCAAGCATATAGTATAATGATTAACCCATTCACTTATTCAATGCTACTTTTTTGACCCAAAAATATTCCCCTAATTTAATTATAAACCAGGTGGGATTCTTATCCATTCCCAAATCGAAGGATTTGAATCTCATTTTATGTACCTATTTTGATGATGATGGTTGTTTGCCTAATGCCACTTTGACTAATTCCAGCAAGGAGGCTAATGTAACTTTGTCCTAAGTGGACTTAGTAACCAGTCCTTATCTTTTCATGGACACGAGACAACCGCGTTTCATATTTTTTTTCCTTTTTCTTGTCCTGATATGAGTTGAATCTGTCCTGTCTTAAACCCTCCAATACTTGGTATGATTTTGTATGGTTCCTTTACCTCTCTGTTGTGAACTTTCCATGGTTTCTGAGTCCCTTATTGGAACTAGAATGCCATATTCGACATCAATAGTTTATTTGGAACGATTAATATAGGATCCATCTCTCTCCATGTTCTGTTAGGGGAGAAAACATTTTAGAGAGTTGACAATACAGCCTAACAGAAGCCAAAGATTGAACAGGGAACTCTGTTTTATTTGTTACCCCAAGATAGATGAGAGCTTTAATTTTCTAGTGGATTTTACCCAACAGAAGACATGACCAGACACAATTACCTTGGATAATCCTTTTGTTTGATTCATAGGCAGTTTTGGGTATTATGTTCAAAAATATTGTTTTGCTGAGAACCTATTAAATACTAGGCGAAAATGATCACAGAACTTCCATAATCTCATGATTATTTGTCATTGAAATTCTAATAATTTTTATGTTCCATAAAGTATATCAATGAGAATATACACTGAAGAAAAGCAGTGATGCTGGTAATCTGTATTACAGGTCTTTGTGAATGATCAGTTCCTCAATTGGGACCCAAAACACAGAATCAAAGTTCGTATCATATCTGCCAGAGCTTATCATTCCTTGTTCATGCACAACATGTAAGTAATGAATAAAAAAATACTTACCACGAAATTTTTGTTCATTCCACAACTAGATATAATATATAGCTGATTTTATCTGCTTGAAAATTTTCAACTTAAACTAAATTTAGTAGGAAAAAAAGGGAAATTGTAAGTTTAATAGTATAAAGCAATAAACAAAAGGCGCAATGATATTGTTCAAGTAGCGAACATATGATAATTGGGTGGGTTGCAGGTGCATCCGCCCCACTCCAGAAGAGCTGGAGGATTTTGGTACTCCAGATTTCACCATATACAATGCTGGGCAGTTCCCATGTAACCGTTACACCCATTACATGACTTCTTCTACTAGCATAGACCTCAACCTTGCTAGAAGAGAGATGGTCATTCTTGGCACACAGTACGCTGGGGAAATGAAGAAAGGTTTATTCAGTGTAATGCACTATCTCATGCCAAAGCGTCAAATCCTCTCCCTTCACTCCGGATGCAACATGGGGAAGGATGGCGATGTAGCCCTTTTCTTCGGATTATCAGGTATAGTGTTGTTGAGCCATCACTGGAAATTGGAGAATGTATTTCTGTTCTGTATGTCCTAAATGATTTTCCTACCTTTTGATATAGGTACAGGGAAGACAACTCTGTCCACTGATCATAACAGGTATTTAATTGGAGATGATGAGCATTGCTGGAGTGAGAATGGTGTCTCAAATATAGAAGGCGGTTGCTATGCTAAGTGCATTGATTTGTCAAAAGTGAAGGAGCCTGATATTTGGAATGCCATCAAGTTTGGGACTGGTAAAAGTCTGATTCATCTTCATTTCCTACTAGAAATCTCTATCTATTGAAATATTTAACTTGACTGCTTGTGTTCCCCAGTGTTAGAGAATGTGGTGTTTGAGGAGCATACTCGAGAAGTGGATCACTCAGATAAATCTGTCACAGGTAAAGCAGAATCAGTGAATTTGAGTGATTACTGTTCAAATTTTAGGAGGATAATGTCCTGATAAATCCCTTGAAACTGATGGCATGAAGGAATGAATTTTTCTGTCATTTGTATACCTTCAATTTTCATATGATACATCATTCGATGAGTTTTTTCAAGTGTCTAAACTCTAAAAGAAAATTATATAAATATAGATTTGAAATTGTCTGGTGCCACTTACTGATCTGATGAGGCAATTGGTTGCAGAGAACACTAGGGCAGCCTATCCTATTGAGTATATCCCCAATGCTAAGATACCATGTGTTGGTCCTCATCCAAAGAATGTCATCCTTCTGGCTTGTGATGCATTTGGTGTGCTTCCTCCCGTGAGCAAGCTGAGCCTGGCACAAACCATGTATCACTTCATCAGTGGCTACACAGCTCTGGTACTTTAAGAAATCTTCGGCATTTTTTTTTTCAGATATACCCAATAGATATGCATCGTTGTAAACTCAACTTAGCATTAATCATTGCAACAAATTTCTTTATCATAAAACAGGTTGCTGGGACAGAGGAAGGTGTGAAGGAGCCACAGGCCACATTTTCAGCCTGCTTTGGTGCGGCATTTATAATGCTGCACCCGACCAAGTATGCTGCAATGTTAGCAGAAAAGATGCAAAAGCATGGGGCTACAGGGTGGCTTGTTAACACTGGCTGGTCAGGAGGAAGGTATACATGTAACTATACTGTAAAACATGAAATCTAGTTCGTGCATTTAAATTTGAGTGATATTAATTTTTGGTTTATTATGTTCTTTCCTTTCTGGGCAGCTATGGGTCAGGCGGTCGTATTAAGTTAGCATACACAAGAAGGATCATCGATGCCATTCACTCAGGAAGCCTTTTGGAGGCAAACTACAAAAAGACTGACGTATTTGGTCTAGAAATTCCAACTGAGATCGACGGTGTCCCTTCTGAAATCCTGGACCCTGTGAACACCGTAAGTTGGCTTTCTCTTCTTCGTTTCGCCACTGTTCTTGACTTGCATCTTTTTAATCTTTCTAGTCTTTAGTTTACAGTAGTCTGAAGTTTTATTTATTCAATTGAATTGCAGTGGCCAAACAAGATGGCCTACAAGGATACCCTACTGAAGTTGGCTGGTTTGTTCAAGAAAAACTTCGAGGGATTCATGAATTATAAGATAGGAAAAGACAGCAAGCTGACGGAAGAGATCCTCGCAGCTGGTCCTATCTTTTGAGCAGCCATCTGCTTTGAGATTGGTGGAGAGATGGTTTAATGTAAAAGAAATAATTGAGACAAGTAGGATATGCTTGTCAATCCAATGTATTTCTATTTCCTTGTTGTCATGGACTTTTCTCCTACGTTAAAAATTTTCTTATGAATTGGAGTTTTAAGATTTGGTTTTGGGTTTGGTTAGATAATTTTGTATCTCTGAGATTTATTAAGTTTTGAATGAGATAAAGTCATTCAAGTTAAGACTTTCCAAATTATAAATATTTAGATATATGTAATAAATTTTTAGGTCTCATGTTTGTTGTTTGGTAAATTAAATAAATTTAATATTGAAAAATTAAAAATTAAAAATTTAATTTTAAAAAATTTCAATATTAAATTTATAATTAAAAATTATTTGGTATGCTATTTAAACAATATTTAATAAAATTTTTTATAATTTTTTATGAAAAAATAGATATGATTTTGTAATTATTTTACAAAAATTATTAAAAAGTAAATAATAAAATTTTTTAATTTCATAAATAATATTAACAGATAAAATATATCTCTTAAAATATACTTAAAAATAAAAAAATTAATTAAAAAAATAAAACAAATGCCATCTTAATAACCTTATTTTTACAAATAAAATTTCAATGTCATATTAAATAATGACTCTTGTTTTAACATGATAAAAATTAAAAAAGTAAAATAAATTTATTTTTTTATATTTTTCGGGTAAAAAACTGTTTTTTTAAGGGTTTAGTGAAGCCGACAGATGTCAAAGAGCACTTATCCTAAACAATTGTATATTGCCTTGACTCATCGGCCATCTCCCTCCCATACATTAACTGGATAGCCCATTCTTCTGTTCTGTCTGCACTGGCTTCTGCTCTTGTCCTGGACAATCAGCTTGACCGATAGCTAACAGTTCGAAATCTGAGGGCAGCCCTTGAATTTGCAGCAACTTTGGTTACTGAACCCCACGTTAGCAATGGAAGTGGCTTCCTTAATTGTGTCTCCTCTTTTACAGGTGATCTATGAGAAATTGGCTTCTTATCTCAGCACTGTGGAAACTCCCAAAGACCAGAAGAGGAATATAAAGAAGTTACAAGACAAGTTGCTAATCATTCAAGCTGTAATCGAAGATGCAGAAGAGAGACAACTGAAGGATAAGAAGGTGAAGATTTGGCTTTCAAAGCTTAGGGATGCTGCTTATGATGCAGATGATCTATTGGATAAAATCACCACTCAAGTTTTGCGGAAACAGTTGGTGAAAAAAAGGTTGGTGATGGACGATGGATTCTACAGCAGGCTCAGAAGAATTCCGGCATCGATATATGAAGAAACGAAAAGGCTGGTTCGGATCACTTCTTTCACTCTTCAATCAATCTTAATTAGCTTTGAAAAGTCACGAAAGCTGGCAGGGATTCTTGAAAGATTGGACGATATAGCAACTGAGATGTCTACCTTCCAATTCAAGGAAGTTGTAACTTATAAAAGATCAGATACTAGAGAGAAAAGGGAGACTGGACCTTACCGTTGCGCTTGAAACAATAATCATAACAATACAGAAGTAATAGACAATAATCAATAATAAAAAATATAGAAAAAATAAAGCACACTAAAATTTAAGTGAAAAACCTTTCAGTGTAGAAAAAAAAATCACGGATCACCAAAAAAATCTTCACTATCAAATAATAGGTATATAAAGTTCTTCTCTAGTTAAAACTAGAGTTAATCAACAACTAGAAAAACAATTAGAGAAATCTCACCAAATAAGTGACTCAATAAACACACCATGGATTTATTCATAGAAAGCTTCAAACCCGATCTTCACCGTTCAGAATGTATAACTTTGAATTATAAACCTCCTGATAAGGTTTCAACTCAATCGAACCACGGATCGACTTTCGTTCAACCAACTCTCTCTTCTTCTTTTTCTCTTTATTTTTTTTTGGCTTTTCTTCTTTCTCTACTTGGTTTTCGACACCCACTTAAAACAACCCCACCTCTTTTTTATTAAGTGGCTAGGGTTCTGTGTTAAATGAAAGATCAAGGCCCATGACCTTTACTTGGTCCAAAATCACTTACATGAGGTTGGACCCCATTTTTCTAACAATCTCTCCCTTTAGCCCCATTAGGAGGAGATTCATCACTATAACAGTTTCATTTAGAACTTACCTTGGCCAGGGAACTGCAAAGCTTAAGCTTTTTCCTGGAAAGTATCTTAGTCAACATATCTGTTACATTTTTATCAGTATGGATTTTTTTCAATAGCATCTGCTGTTCTTCAATCACTGAACGTAATCAATGATATCTAACATTAATGTGCTTTGTTCTAACATGATACATGGTATTCTTACTCAAATCTAAAGCACTTTTGCTATCATAAAATATCACATACTCTTTCTGTTTCAACCCTAATTCAAGAATAAAACGTTTTATCCAAAATATTTTTTTACATGCTTCGGTTGCTGCAATATACTCAGCCTCTGTAGTTGACAAAGCAACACACTTCTATAACTTAGATTGTCAAGATACAGCTTCTCCTACAAAAGTGAACAATATCCTGAAGTAGATTTTTTACCATCAAGATCGCTTGCCATGTCAGCATCTGTAAACCCTTCTAGAACTGATTGTGAAACTTCATAAGTCAAGCACATTTTTGAGGTACCCCTTAAATATCTAAAAATCCATTTCACTGCTTCTCAGTGAACCTTTCCCGAATTAGAAAGAAATCTGCTAACTAAACCAACTGCATGAGCAATGTCAGGCCTTGTACAAACCATAAGATACATTAAAGAATCGACTGCAGAAGAATAAGGAATACTAGACATAGCTAGTTGCTCTTCCTTAGACACTGGACAAGATTTCTTACTTAGATGAAAATGGTTGGCAAGTGGACTGCTAACTAATTTAACATGTTGCATGTTGAATCTACTAAGCACTTGTTCAACATACTTTCTCTATGACAACCATAGCTTTTCAGCTCTCCTATCACATATAATGTCCATACCAAGAATCTGCTTTACTAGACCTAAATCTTTCATATCAAAGAACTTAGACAATTATTCTTTCAACCTGCAAACCATACTAGCATATTGTCCTACAATCAACATATCATCAACATATAATAATAGGATAATGAAGTTACCATTAGGGAATTGTTTAACATATACACAAGAATCCGTTGCTATTCTTTTATAGCTATAACTCACCATAAAAAAATCAAACTTTTTATACCATTATCGCAGAGCTTGTTTCAAGCTATACAAGCTTTTTTTCAATTTGTAAACTAAGTGCTCTTTCCCTTTCACTTCAAAACCCTCTGGCTGATTCATATAAATGTCTTCCTGTAAATCACCATGCAAAAATACAGTTTTAACATCAAGTTGCTCAAGCTTAAGATTCAAACTAGCTGTTAATCCCAGTACCACTCGAATAGAACTCATCTTTACAACTGGAGTAAAAATTTTATCAAAATCGATACCTGATTTCTGAGAAAATTTTTTTACTATCAATCGAGCTTTGTACCTCACTAGTTTGTCATCATCATTTTTCAACTTGAACACCCATTTATTTTTTAATAGCCTCTTCCTTGTTGAAAGTTTAATAAGATCATAAGTACCATTCTTTCGCAATGACTCCATCTCTTCTTTCATTACTTTTAACTAGTGCTCTCTATCCGGAGTAGTCTATACATCTTGGAAGCTTTTTGGCTCCCCTTCACTAGTAACTAAAATAAAATCTGAAGTTGGATACCTAGTAGATGGCTTACGCTCTCTAGTAGATCTCTTGGGCTGAGACTCTACATCACTTGATGTCGAAGGTAGCTCCCCCTACTCAACACTCTCAGGTAGAGAGGATTGCTCCCCCTGTTCAAAACTAATTGCATCTGGCTCATTACCAACTGTGGTTGGCTCATTCATATCCTCAAGTTCTGTTTCTTGCTCATTTTCATCATCTATGGCTCTTTCCTGTGAAATTTTTATCGGTGTTGAAAATCACACTTAACAGTAACCCATGTAGTCTTCTCATTTTTTTCAAGGTCTGCTATGATTTTTTTTTCATCAAAGATCACATCTCTGCTTCTGACTGTCTTTCTCTTTGCTAGATCTCATACCCTGTAGCCAAATTTCTCATCACTATATCCTACAAACACACAATGTGTGGCTTTACTATCAAGCTTTAATCTCTACTCTTTTGACACATGCTTGAATGCTTTACACCAAAAAATTTTCAAGTGAGAGTATGAAGTATCTTTCTCTGTCCACACTCTTTTTGGAATGTCAAAGCCCAAAAAAATTGATGGTGATCTGTTAAATAAATAACAAGCCGTGTTAACTGTTTCACCCCATAATGGCTTTGGTAATTTTGCCATCCTCAACATACATCTGACTTTTTTTACAATGGTACGATTCATTCTTTAAGCTATACCATTATGCTGTGGTGTTTCAGGTTCTGTCATCTCATGCCTGATCCCATGCTTTTAACAATACTCTTCAAAGCCTTTAGATGTGTATTCCCCACTATTATCAGTTTGAATACACTTCAAGGGTAATCTTGTCATCCTTTCAACTATGGTATGAAATTTTTAAAAATACTACAGTACCTGACTTTTGTATTTCAACATATACGCCCAAGTCTTACGTGAAGTATCATCAATAAAATATCTGCTACCACCTAATAACTCAACCTTAATGGGATCACATACGTCAAAATAAATTGATTCCAATCTTTTTTTTTCTTTGAGAACTTTTATGAAAAGAAACTTTATGATGCTTACCAAACAAACAATAATCATATGAATCGAGAGACATACCTTTGGTCAAGGGAATAAAAGACTGCCTTGCCAAAACCTGTAACCCCTTTTCACTCATGTGTGCCAGCCTCCTGTGCCACAAGTTTGCTGAAGCATCATTTTTAACGATATTTACTTGGTTACCGTTCAATTACATCCATGTCTTATACATTGTGCAGCATAGTTTTCTCCTTGCAACTATCATAGATCCTTTGAGAAGCTTCCACTATCCATTCTTTTATCTGCTTTCATATCCCTCATTATCAAAGATATTAATAGTAAGCAAGTTCATTCTCATATCTGAAATGTGTTTGACATCCTTCAAAGTCAACATGCAGCTTGTACTAGTTTGTATAATAATATCACAAATCCCAAAAATCTGTGACACACTCTTGTTTCTCATCTTGGTACAACCAAAGTCTCCTGCTTTGTAAGTTGTAAACAACTCTTTCTTAGGAATACAATGACATGCCGTTCCTGTGTCAACTATCCACTTAATGTCGGGATCACTAACATGATTACAATCACTATGTGTACAAATTAAAGTAACTGAATCACTATCTGAATTCACTGCTGTAACATTGCCATTATCTGAACTCTTACATTTATCATCTTTTCACTTTTGCTTCAAGATTTTATAGTTTCGTTTTATATGACCTGCTTTACCACAATAAAAACACTTCACTTTACCTCTAGACTTGGATCTATGTTTAGACTTACCATGATTTTTTGAGTCATGATCTCTGTCGATGTTTCTACCCCTGTTCTCTGTGACCAGAGCTAATTCTCAGGGTCTACATTTTTTCGCCTTGCTTCTTCATTAAGCATACTATCTTTTACCATCTCCAATATCACCTAATCAGGAGATGAATTAAGAACAATCACAACTAGAGTATTTCAGCTGCCTGATAATGAACCTAAAAGAAATAACGCATTCATTTCATCATCCATCTTAAGCTCCATAATAGTCATCCGATTAAATATATCTTAAAAATCACTCAAGTGCTCTGTAACAGATCATCCATCCATGTACTGTAAAGTTGCAAGTTTTTTAACAAGCATAACTTTATTCATACATGTTTTTCTCTCATACAATGCTGCCAATTTTTCTCAAATAATATGAGCATCTGACTTCTGTGCTACATGATGGAACACGCTGATATCAACATATTTTTTTATTATAGCCAGCGTCTTTCTACCTAGCTTCTTCTAGCTTTCATCTTTCATCTTTCATATCTGCTGGTTTAGTCGAATCACCCAATATTGGCTCATACAAATTATTACAGTATAGATGATCCTCCATCATAGGCTTCCAAATTAAATAATTCGATGCTGTCAATTTTATCATGAAACCTGTATCACCCTTCATTATCTTAAATAAAATTTACTTTTATCTTGGGTTACTTTTGTGTCGATGTCTCAAAATAACCCTCGCTCTGATACCACTTGTTGCGCTTGAAGTAATAATCACAATAATACAGAAGCAATAGACAACAATCAATAATAAAAAACTCAAAAAAAATAAAGCACATCAAGATTTACGTGAAAACCCTCAAGTGTAGAGGAAAAAAACTACGGACCACCAGAAAAATCTTCACTATCAAATAATAGGTATATAAAGTTCTTCTCTAGGTAAAACTATAGCTAATCAACAACTAGAGAAACAATTAGAGAAATCTCACCAAATAAGTGACTCAACAAATACACCATAGATTTGTTCTTAGAGAGCTTCAAAGTCGATCTTCACCATTCAGAATATAGAACTCTGAATCATAAACCTCTTGACAAGGTTTCAACTCAATCGGACCATGAATCGACTTTTGTTCAACAAATTCTCTCTTCTCCTTTTTCTCTCTGTTTTTTTTTAACTTTTCTTCTTTCTCTACTTAGTTTTCTACACCCACTTAAAACAACCCCACCTATTTTTTATTAAGTAGTTGGGGTTTCGTGTAAAATGAAAGATCAAGGCCCATGATCTTTACTTGGTCTAAAACCACTTACATAAGGCTGGACCCATTTTCTTAACACTTACGTGGTTGAATCAGAAGTTTATGGTCGAAAAGAAGACGTGAAGAAGATTGTTGATTTGTTATAATCGTCTGATGCTGCTACTTGGGTGATTCCAATAGTTGGTATTGAGGGAATTGGGAAGACGACGCTTGCTCAGTTAGTTTACAATGATCAGAGTCTAGATGGACATTTTGATATGAAGATTTGGGTTTCTTTATATGGCAATTTCAGCACGAAGAAGCTTCTTGGTGAAATTTTGGAGTGTGTGACTAAGCATAGGTGTGAATCCTCCCAGATGGGTGTTTTGCAATCCCAACTCCGAGACTCATTATGCGGAAAGAGATATCTACTTGTACTGGATGATGTGTGGAATGATGATCATGAAGAGTGGGATAAAGTGCGGAGCGTGTTAAGATGTGGAGCAGAAGGAAGCAAAATTAGAGTCACCACCAGGAGTGAAAAAGTTGCTTCTGTAACGAGTACTGCTCCTCCGCACCATTTGGAAGCCCTAACCAAAGATGATTGTTGGACCTTGTTCAAGCAGCAAGCCTTTGCATATGGTGAAGAAGATGCCTTCTCAAACCTATTGCCTATTGGTCAGCAGATTATAGACAAGTGCCACGGTGTGCCTTTAGCAGCTAAAGTTCTTGGTGGCTTGTTACGGTCCAAAAGAGAGGAAGATGAATGGTTACGTGTGCAAGAAAGTGATCTGTGGAACCTTGATGCTGGTGAGAACAGAATATTATCTGTCCTGAGGTTGAGTTTCAATGACTTGCCATCACATTTAAAGCGATGCTTTGCATATTGTGCCATATTTCCTAGAAATTATCATTTAAGTAAGGAAAAGTTAATCCAACAGTGGATTGCAGGCGGCTTAGTTCAATTATCTGCAGGTGACGACCTTAACATGCTTGAGCAAATTGGCAATGAGTGCTTTAACAATTTACTGAAGGTCTTTTTTCCAACTCGCAAGCAGTAGCAGTGTGGTAGAATTTAAAGTTCCTAATTTGATTTATGATCTTGCAAAAATATGTAGCTGGGAATGAGTTCTTGACAATATCAAACAGTTATCAAGCACAAGTAGTTGCTGATGGTGATCTTGCACAAACTCGACATGCATTGGTTGACAGTAATAACAGGTCCAATCTGCTGCCAGGAGCCTTGTACAAAGCACATAAATTGTGTACCCTCAGCCTCTTGGCTTCTGTAGATACATCAATGGAAGCTCTAAGAAACCTAGTTTTGAGTTTTAGGCACCTTAAAATTTTGAATTTGAGCGGAAGTGGCATCAAAAGGATGCACAGATCCATCGGTGATTTGATATATTTGAGATATCTTGACCCCTTAAATACTCCTCTCGAAACATTACCAGAGACAATTGGTCATCTGTGCAATTTGCAAACGCTTGACCTCTCAAACACTCATCTCCAAACATTACCGGGGACAATTGGTCGTCTGTGCAATTTGCAAACACTTGACCTTTCAGGATGCACTTATCTGCCATGTTTACCCACAGAAATAACAGAGTTAGTAAAGCAGATACATTTAAACATAAAGGATTGTGCAAGGCTTACTTGGCTCCCTTATCGTATTTTCCATCTATAGAGGCTTCAGACTTTACCATATTTATTGCTTGGCCAGATATTGGTAATCTCTGTAAACTAAATCTTCGAGGTGAGTTGAAAATTAAGCACCTTGAGAATGTTACTTATGTCCCTAGAGGATCGGAGGGGTATTTCAGGGACCAAAGTTTTTCAGGCTATCTGGAACATATGCAACTTCACACATTGGGACTATTTTGGGGGGATGGTGATGCAGGTAAGTTCAATCAAAACACATCAAGACAAACCAGACAAAGTGCAGCTGTATCTGAGCGTTTGATGGAAAGCCTTCAGCCAAACCATAATATAAGAAGTTTGTCAATAAATGGATATTCACGACGCCAATTCCCTCTCTGGATGAGTTCGGATGCAATCAGCAATTTGACAGAGCTCAAGTTAGTCAATTGCAAAAGTTGTCAAACTCTCCCTAAGCTTGGCCAACTTCCATTCCTTAAGTGTCTCAACATCCAAGGGATGGACAATGTGGTGAAAATCGATGATGAGTTCTCTGGTGGAGGAATGAGGCCGTTTCCATCATTGAATGAACTAACCTTTCGAGACTTTCCTGAACTAAGAACTTGGGAAAGCATGGGTTCAACAGAAGCTTTCCCTTGCATCAAGAGACTATCCATCATTAAATGTCCGTTCTTAAAAACGATGCCATGGTTTCCAACTCTTCAACGCTTAATGGTGCAAAACTGTGATCCATTGCTACTTAGATCAGCAGCAGAGCTAAGAACACTTGTGACTCTTGTTATTGACTCCTTTCGGGAGTTATCTTTCATACCGAAAGTACTGCCAGCAAACTGTTTGCTTCTTACGTCTTTGACAGTTATCTCTTGTCCCAACCTTCAAACATTGCCTGCTAATTTGGGGAAAATCACTGCTCTGAAGTCATTGAAAATTGGTTGGTGTGAGATGCTGGCCAGTTTGCCTCATGGATTAGAAAATCTCATCTCTCTAGAGAATTTGGATAATAGTATCTAAATAACTGCAACAAAGTAGCAAATCTTCATCACCTCATTGAAAATGTGACATCATGATTCAGCTGAACAAGTATCCAAAATCATGAAGCATACAACATCAAAATCAACCTGAAGCCATATGATGAGTAAACTCATTAAGGAAACTCCAAGGCCACTGAAAAATCTTCACTATCAAATAATAGTTATACAAAGTTCTTCTCTAGCTAAAACTAGAGCTAATCAACAACTAGAGAAACAATTGGAGAAATCTCACCAAATAAGTGACTCAACAAATACACCCTGGATTTGTTCCTAGAGAGCTTCAAACCCGATCTTCACCGTTCAGAATGTATAACTCTGAATCATAAACCTCCTGACAAGGTTCCAACTCAATCGGACCACGGATCGACTTCCGTTTAATCAACTCTCCCTTCTCCTTTTTCTCTCTCTGCTTTTCCTGGCTTTTCTTCTTTCTCTGCTTGGTTGTCGACACACACACAAAACAACCCCACCTCTTTTTTTATTAAGTAGCTAGGGCTCTGTGTAAAATAAAAGATCAAGGCCCATGGCCTTTACTTGGTCCAAAACCACTTACATGGGACTGGACCCCATTTTCCTAACAATCTCCCCCTCCAGCCCCATTAGGAGGAGATTCATCACCATAGCAGTTTCATTTGGAACTTACCTTGGCCAGGGAACTCATTCCGGCCAAGTTACTACAAAGCTCAAGCTTTTCCCTGGGAAGTATCTTAGTCAACATATCTGCCACATTTTTATCAGTATGGACTTTCTTCAATAGCATCTGCTGTTCTTCAATCACTGAACGTAATCAATGATATCTAACATCAATGTGCTTTGTTCTAGCATGGTACATGGTATTCTTACTCAAATCTAAAGCACTCTGGCTATCACAAAATACCACATACTCTTTCTGATTCAACCCTAATTCAAGAAGAAAACGTTTCATCCAAAGCATTTCTTTACATGCTTCAGTTGCTGCAATATACTCAGCCTCTGTAGTTGACAAAGCAACACACTTCTGCAACTTAGACTGCCAAGATACAGCTCCTCCTGCAAAAGTAAACAAATACCCTGAAGTAGATTTCCTACCATCAAGATCGCCTGCCATGTCAGCATCAGTAAACCCTTCTAGAATTGGTTGTGAAACTCCATAAGTCAAACACATTTTTGAGGTACCCCTCAAATATCTAAAAATCCATTTTACTGCTTCCCAGTGAACCTTCCCTGGATTAGAAAGAAATCTGCTCACTACACCAACTGCATGAGCAATGTCAGGCCTTGTACAAACCATAAGATACATTAAAGAACCGACTGCAGAAGAATAAGGAATACTAGACATAGCTAGTTGCTCTTCCTTAGACACTGGACAAGATTTCTTACTTAGATGAAAATGGTTGGCAAGTGAACTGCTAACTGATTTAGCATGTTGCATGTTGAATCTACCAAGCACTCGTTCAACATACTTTTCCTGTGACAACCACAGCTTTCCAGCTCTCCTATCCCGGATAATGTCCATACCAAGAATCTGCTTTGCTGGACCTAAATCTTTCATATCAAAGACTTAGACAATTGTTCTTTCAACCTGCAAACCATACTAGCATCTTGTCCTACAATCAACATATCATCAACATATAATAATAGGATAATGAAGTTACCATTAGGGAATTGTTTAACATACACACAAGAATCCGCTGCTGTTCTTTTATAGCTATGACTCACCATAAAAGAATCAAACTTCTTGTACCACTGTCGTGGAGCTTGTTTCAAGCCATACAAGCTTTTCTTCAATTTACAAACTAAGTGCTCTTTCCCTTTCACTTCAAAACCCTCAGGCTGATTCATATAAATGTCCTCCTGTAAATCACCATGCAAAAATGCAGTTTTAACATCAAGTTGCTCAAGCTCAAGATTCAAACTAGCTGCCAATCCCAGTACCACTCGAATAGAACTCATTTTTACAACTGGAGCAAAAATCTCATCAAAATCGATGCCTGGTTTCTGAGAAAAACCTTTTACTACCAATCGAGCTTTGTACCTCACTAGTTTGTCACCATCCTTTTTCAACTTGAACACCCATTTATTCTTTAATGGCCTCTTCCTTGTTGGAAGTTTAACAAGATCATAAGTACCATTCTTTCGCAATGACTCCATCTCTTCTTTCATTGCTTTTAACCAGTGCTCTCTATCCGGAGTAGCCTGCACATCTTGAAAGCTTTCTGGCACCCCTTCACTGGTAACTAAAATAAAATCTGAACTTGGATACCTGGTAGATGGCCTGCGCTCTCTAGTAGATCTCCTGAGCTGAGACTCTACATCACTTGATGCTGAAGGTAGCTCCCCCTGCTCAACACTCTCAGGTAGAGAGGATTGCTCCCCCTGCTCAAAACTAATAGCATCTGGCTCATTACCAACTATGGCTGGCTCATTCATATCCCAAAGTTCTGTTTCTGGCTCATTTTCACCATCTGTGGCTCTTTCCTGTGAAATCCCTGTCGGTGTTGAAACATCACACTCAACAGTAACTCGTGTAGTCTTCTCATTTTTCTCAAGGTCTGCTATGGTTTCTTTTTCATGAAAGACCACATCTCTGCTTCTGACTGTCTTTCTCTTTACTGGATCCCATACCCTGTAGCCAAATTCCTCATCACCATATCCTACAAACACACACTGTGTAGCTTTACTATCAAGCTTTGACCTCTGCTCTTTTGGTACATGCATGAATGCTTTACACCCAAAAACTTTTAAGTGAGAGTATGAAGCATCTTTTCCTGTCCACACTCTTTCTGGAATGTCAAAGCCCAAAGGAACTGATGGTGACCTGTTAAGTAAATAACAAGCTGTGTTGACTGCTTCACCCCAGAATGGCTTTGGTAATTTTGCCATCCTCAACATACATCTGACTTTTTCCACAATGGTGCGATTCATTCTTTCAGCTATACCATTATGCTGAGGTGTTCCAGGTTCTGTCCTCTCATGCCTGATCCCATGCTTTGAGCAATACTCTTCAAAGCTTTTAGATGTGTATTCCCCACCATTATCAGTTCGAATACACTTCAAGGGTAACCCTGTCATCCTTTCAACCATGGCATGAAATTTTTGAAAATACTGCAGTACCTGACTTTTATATTTCAACATATACACCCAAGTTTTACGTGAAGCATCATCAATAAAAGTAACAAAATATCTGCTACCACCTAATGACTCAACCTCAATGGGACCACATACATCAGAATAAATTAATTCCAATCTATTTTCTTTTCTCTGAGAACTTTTACGAAAAAAAAACTCTATGATGCTTACCAAACAAACAATAATCACATGAATCGAGAGACATACCTTTGGTCAAGGGAATGAGAGAGTGCCTTGCCAAAACCTGTAACCCTTTTTCACTCATGTGTGCCAGCCTCCTGTGCCACAAGTTTGCTGAAGCATCATTTTCAACGGTATTTATCTGATTACCGTTCAATTGCATCCATGTCTTATACATTGTGCAGCATAGTTTTCCCCTTGCAACTACCATAGATCCTTTGAGAAGCTTCCACTGTCCATTCTTTTGTCGGCTTTCATATCCCTCCTTATCAAGGACATTAATAGCAAGCAAGTTCATTCTCATATCTGGAATGTGTCTGACATCCCTCAAAGTCAACATGCAGCCTGTACTAGTTTGTACAACAATATCACCAATCCCAACAATCTGTGACACACTCTTGTTTCCCATCTTGGTACAACCAAAGTCTCCTGCTTTGTAAGTTGTAAACAACTCTCTCTTAGGAACACAATGATATGCCGCTCCTGTGTCAACTATCCACTCAATACCGGGATCACTAACATGATTACAATCACCATGTGTACAAATCAAAGTAACTGAATCACTATCTGAATTCACTGCTGCAACATTGCCATCATCTGAACTCTTGCCTTTCTCATCTTTTTGCTCTTGCTTTAAGATTCTACAGTTTCGTTTTATATGACCCGCCTTACCACAATGGAAACACTTCACTTTACCTCTAGACTTGGATCTATGTTTAGACTTACCACGGCCTTTTGAGTCCTGACCTCTGTCGATGTTTCTACCCCTGTTCTCTGTGACCAGAGCTTGATTCCTAGGGTCTACATCTTTTCGCCTCGCTTCTTCATTAAGCATACTGTCCTTTACCATCTCCAATGTCACCTTATAATCAGGAGCTGAATTAAGAACAGTCACAACTAGAGTATTCCAGCTGTCTGGCAATGAACCCAAAAGAAATAATGCCTTCATTTCATCATCCATCTTAAGTTCCATAGTAGTCATCCGATTAAATATATCTTGAAAATCACTCAAGTGCTCTGTAACAGATCGTCCATCCCTGTACTGTAAAGTTGCAATCTTTTTAACAAGCATAACTTTATTCATACCTGTTTTTCTCTCATACAATGCTGCCAATTTTTCTCAAACAATGTGAACATCTGACTCCTGCGCTACATGATGGAACACGCTGATATCAACCCATTTTCTGATTGTAGCCAGCGTCTTTCTACCTAGCTTCTTTCAGCTTTCATCTTTCATATCTGCTGGTTTAGCCGAATCACCCAATACTGGCTCATACAAATCTTTGCAGTATAGATGATCCTCCATCATAGGCTTCCAAATTGAATAATTTGATGCTGTCAATTTTATCATGGAACCTGTATCACCCTCCATGATCTCAAACAGAATTTACTTCTATCCTGGGATGCTTCTGTATCGATGTCTCAAAATAACCCTCGCTCTGATACCACTTGTTGCGCCTGAAGCAATAATCACAACAATACAGAAGCAATAGACAACAATCAATAATCAAATGCGCAGGAAAAATAAAGCACACCAAGATTTACGTGGAAAACCCTCCAGTGTAGAGGGAAAAACCACGGGCCACCAGAAAAATCTTCACTATCAAATAATAGTTATACAAAGTTCTTCTCTAGCTAAAACTAGAGCTAATCAACAACTAGAGAAACAATTGGAGAATCTCACCAAATAAGTGACTCAACAAATACACCCTGGATTTGTTCCTAGAGAGCTTCAAACCCGATCTTCACCGTTCAGAATGTATAACTCTGAATCATAAACCTCCTGACAAGGTTCCAACTCAATCGGACCACGGATCGACTTTCGTTTAATCAACTCTCCCTTCTCCTTTTTCTCTCTCTGCTTTTCCTGGCTTTTTCTTCTTTCTCTGCTTGGTTGTCGACACACACACAAAACAACCCCACCTCTTTTTTTATTAAGTAGCTAGGACTCTGTGTAAAATAAAAGATCAAGGCCCATGGCCTTTACTTGGTCCAAAACCACTTACATGGGACTGGACCCCATTTTCCTAACAACTTGTTTGCCAACGGGAATGCAACATGCCATGGCCCTTGAGCGCCTAACAATTATGTATTGTTCGAATCTGGCTTCTCTACCGGATGGTCTGCAAAATCTCTTGGCACTTAAGAGCTTGACCATTTTAAGTTGCCCAGAATTAGCATCCCTGCCAGAAGGGGTTCAGCATATGAAGATGCTACAAAATCTGGAAATTCGTAGCTGTCCAAAACTCATGGCTCTGCCAAAGGTAAACAACCTTGTTTCATTACGATCTTTGGCAATTTCAGACTCTCAAAATATAAAGTCTCTACCGGAAGGCATCCAGCAGCTCGGTGAACTTCAACACCTTTCCATTCAAGACTGTCCTGAACTTGAAAAACGATGCAAGAGAGGGGAAGGTGAGGATTGGCAGAAGATATCTCACATCCCATATGTTTATATAGGAACATCAATACTTCAAAACAGACTGGACACTGCAGCCAGCTCCTCAAGTTCATAGGTATGACTCTTTCTCGTTAGTTCTTTTGATTTTAGCTATAAACAAATCCCTGATGGTTAGAAGTTTAATTAGATTTGGATTTTGGATTTAGTTCATTCACTTTATTCATTTTATGGTTCTCCATAATTGATTTTTGGTTGTGCTTGTATCCTCCTCCTGTTATTGATTCACCTGATTTTGGTAAATTAAGGATCCCGGTGAAATTAACTATTCTAAATTGTATCATTTAAGCCAAAGGCAGTGGTAACTGGTGGAATTGGGTTATTTGTAAAATTTTTCATAATGCAAAATCAGAACCATAAAATTGCTCCTCGCAAGTAACTCCTTGCCCTGTTCTTATTGCAGGTAACACTAGGGTGGCAAAAAGATATAGTAGTATCTATTTCGCATGTCAAACATTTCCATCTGATCTGCTTCTGTGATTTACTTCAAAATGAACATACAAAGGAGCAGGCTAAATTTAATAGTCTCACCGATTTCGGTTCCATCAGGTTTCCTAGTTTGCTTGGCATTCTATTGCTTTAAGGTCAGCTGCATCTAATTTGTGGGAACAAGTTCTAGTTGCTGTATTGCATAAGGAGATATCTCACATCCCATGTCTTATTACAATGATCTGTTTGCGGAGACCAGGTTTGCTAGTTTGCTGGCCATTCATGTGCTTCAAGGTCAACTTTAATCTAGGTCTATGTGCGGGTTCTTATTGCAACACTGTTAATAGTCTGTGAGCGGAAACAATTTCCAATTCTTATAATTGTATAAGTAATTTATTGAAATAAAAATGACTGTTAACAGTTGTTTTTTTAAATGTGTGACAATGAATTATTGATGTAAAGCTTGTAAAGTTCTCCCTTTTTTTTTATTCAGCCTGGTGCAAATTTTGAGTAGTTTTTAACTGACGAAGGTTTAGCACCATGCATTATAAATGACCAAATCTGTGTTTGTGCCTCTTTGAAAACAACTAAGTTACTGCATTTTTCTTGTACTAAGGAATGCTTATAGCATTAACAAAATTTAGCCACGGAGCCAAAAGGCCACTAGAAAAGAGAGAGCATTTAAAATTCTGGTCTCATGTACATCTGCTGCGGTAATTGCAATAGGACCATAATCCCCCAGGAGATGGTGGACCTGGGATTTGATCCAAGGAGTTAAACTTAGACACAAGACTTTGCATGCAATCTTAACAAATGTACTAAAAAGTAATATTAGATCCTATTTGCATTTCAAAAGTAAGAAGTCAAGAAGTTTCAACAATATCTATCTTTTACCATAGGACATAAAAATTTGACACTTCCAAGAGAAATCCTGTAAATTGTATAATTATGCCCAAGTTTATTTCTGAAACTCAGGATACACCTTTAACATCAGAAAATACTAGAACTCATTTTATGAGGCTGCGTCATCCTTATGCTTGATCATACCAGAATCCACAAGAATGGGAATCTCTGCAGCAAGCCATGGAGCAAGACCCAAACAAAGTGCATGTGCTATACCAGACCTAGGACTGCACGACAAGATCAGAGAAGAAAGAACTATTGAGCAACAATTAAGTAGAAACAATAAGAAAAAGTGCGGAAGTCAAAAGGATTATGACACCAACTATCCTTGGACTGTGGCTGAATTCTAGTTAATCCAAAAGGTTGAGCAATGAAATCCTTGAATTTCCATTTCTCATTCCACATACACTGGAATTTTTTAAAATGGCTGCCTGACATCAATGTTGCATAATACTAACCCATTAAAATCTCTCCTTCAACACTTACTGGTCATGGCTCGATCAGCATTGCCTTCTATGTCTTCCTCTAGCTTTCCATCTAAGTTCAGCTACTATTTCCTCCACCATTTTAATCCAACTCAACCCAGTTTGCTGCTATCCATTAGGTTGCATTACCAAGAACTATTACCGTTAAGAGTGCATTTGTCCCGAAATTTGGTGGGTATTTATTTCTCAAGTTTTGATTAAAAGTAATTCGATTTTGGAGGAAAATACCAAATTTCTAACAATATCTAAAATTTTGAAATAAAAAATCCATCTCTCTTTGTAATATTCAAGATCTCAGAGAAAAATTACTTTATTTTTAAATTTAACTTAAATAAAAAATTTATCATATATCCATTACCTTTTTGAAAAATAAGTTTAAAACTCAATTTTATTTTATTTTTTTTGGTTTTAAATATGCCTTATTTTTAATTCAATTTTAATATATAATAATTAAAATATTTCTTCTTTAAAACGCTTTAATTGATATCAATTAATGTGTTTTCTTTGAACAAATACCTTGTTTTATATTTTTTTCAAAATCTTTACAGAAATATCAAATAAGATATCTTTTCTTTAAAACACTTTAATTGGTTATTGATATTATTTTTTGAATCTTTATAAAAGTATCAAATGAAACAATTTTTAAAAAATTTTTTTAATTGATATCAATTAAAATATTTTTTTTCACGCCTTGATTAATATCAATTAAGACAGTTTTTTGAACAAACGCTTATTGACCATTCAAATGAACGTTTTCTTTTCACAAATGTCTTATTTGATAAACTATATTTTAAAATCTTTACAAATTCAAATACATTATTTCCTTTGAATGAATGTTTTATTTGATTTTTTTTCAACATATTTATAAAAGCAAATAAAATGTTCATCTTTTTCAAACGTCATAATTGATTTTATTTTTTATATTTTAGCACAATAATTATGACTTTATGTTTAGTTAAAACGTTGTAATTGGATATATTAAATAAAAATTAAATCAAGCCTTTATTTTATTTTGCTGCTAAATGTATCATTTATGGTTTGAATTTTTTTTGGTTAAAATAAAATAAAAGGTTGCCTCAAAAAGATTATGATAATCATACATTAATTAATAAATCAAAATTTCTTCTAATTAAAAGAGTGAATTTAATTACGAAATATTTTAAAAATCAAATAAAACTTCATATGTATGAGTATCATACTTTTATTTGAAATTCAAAATTTTACAACTAAATATCCTTTAATTATTTACCAGCATTGGGCAAACGTTGAAGGAGGAGAACCAAACTTTTGACAAGACTAATGATTTGTTCATTCAACAATGTAAATTGAAATGATGATTATTATACTTCAAATGGAATTTTTCCATTTTGAGAGAATCATCTAGAGATGGAAACCAGCACTGCGCTCTCTAGAGAGGAGGCTGAAGAACTGCAACGCAGCATCAAGAGAATCAAGGATTCTCAGGGAAAGGAAATTAATAGCAAAGCCTACAGAAGGACCGCCCAAAAGTAAGTTCATTTCTTACAGGGACTCTTTACTTGGAGCTTCATATGAAGGGTATGAACAACTTCTATCTTCACAGGAAGAGGAAAGTATGGAAACTAACACTAAAACAGAGGATGAAATCCCAAACTAGGAAGGGATGAAGACCAGAATGTAGTTAATGTCACTCACACTAAGGAAGAAAAGGCTAGAATTAGAGAAAAATGGGAAATATCGCTGATTGTTAAAAGTGTTTGGAAGAAAGGTAGGATACCAGTTCCTGGTCTTCAAATTGAACCAACTCTGGAAAACTCAAGGTAAGTTCCTCACTATTGATCTTGGTAACAACTACTTCCTGATAAAATTTTATAAGTCCAAGTGATTACATTATGTCATTAAAAAAGGCCCTTGGTTTGTGGGTGGACATTTTTTGGCAATCCGAAAATGGACACCTAACTTCAGAGCATTTCAAGCTTCCTTTTCCTCAGTTGCTGTCTGGACTAGACTCCCTGCGCTCCCCATTGAATACTATGACACAAGTATTCTAACCAAAATAGGGAGAAGTATTGGGGGTTTACTTAGAGTTGACAGCCATACTCTAGCAAAAGAAATAGGCAAGTTTTGCTAGACCATGCATATAGGTGAATCTTGACAAGCATCAAAAAAATTCATCAATGTGGAAAGAAAAAAGCAGGCCATCATTTATGAAGGTATTGGTCTGCTATGTTTTAATTGCGAGAATATAGGACACAGTAAAGGCTTTTGCCCAAAAATTCCATCAATCCCAGCTCCAATTACTGATCACCATGGTGAAGCTATGGAGGATGCCAAAGCATCTAGGAAAGAAACTTCACAAAATCCACAAAACGACAAAGAGAATAACCAAGATGGCTATGGAACTTGGACGCTGAATTGCTGATCAAAAGGAGAAAAGCAAAACAAAAACAACTATTTTTAAATGCAACACCCTCAGAAAGGCAGGAGAGGGAACAAGGTTTCACAAGAAAGGAAAAAGGCTATAATGGACACTTGGGACAAGACAGCGATAAAGGACGAAAGCCTGAATGAGAAACAGAAGGGCAAGCTGCCAATGTCAGTTTCACAACGGGGAATGAAAGCAAAATAAGAAAGACCGAATTAAATATGGCCCAAAAAGGAGAAAATTCAAAATGCATGGTCTTTCCCATGCTAGATGTTGCTACTGGCACATCAAAAAATAACCCAGAAAACAGTGGCTCCATTTCCATGCAAGTTATGTACCCGCATTTAAGTCCCATGCAGGTTGAAAGGACCTCACATGAACAGAAGAGCAGGGGTCTTGATAATAGGAAATAACTGGGTCTTCGTTCCTCAGCACAGTCTATACCAGTTGAGAACCTTCTTACAGAACCTAAGGAAAAGCATAATGATTTCATCGTGGAACTAGAGTCGCGTCCAAAAATCGAAATTCAGGGGACTCAACGTAAGTTAAAGAATGAAGATTTCCATGAACAGGATGTTGAGAAGGGAAAGAATGCAACATGCCAAATGAAGAGCGTCCCCCCAGGTTTCCTCAACATCTCCTTTGGCCTATTTGGGAGAGAACCACGACCCTTTAAGACAAGTCCTAAGCGAGATAGGGGTGAGGAAAGATTTCGACGGTCTATTTCTCCCAGAGAAAGGAGGTTCAATGCAAGGAATGAAAGAAGTGGAGGAACACACTCCCAAAAGGTTGTGGATCACCTCTTCACTGTTGATCACCCTACCTCTAGTGATACCTGCTCTATATTCCAACCTTTCCTATGCCGAATGGAACCAACCCGCACCCACCCTGAGGACTTTAAACCCCCATCAAGCCATATAATGGATTTTGGAAATGCCAGTGACCCCACTAGCAGAGAAAAACTTAGAGATTCACATTAAAAACATGCAGCTCACGGCTTTGAAACCTCTAGTGGATCAGAACACATATCAGTTCAAGATATATGTGATCTCATTGATGGTACAAGGAGTGGAAACCCTACTCCACAAAATGAAAGTCATACCGAAAGTGGGGCAGAGTGTTGGAGCAGAATGGAACAGTGAATTGTTCGAGGTTCGAGAGATAGCCCAAGACTCCCTCTCTCTTTGATCCTATGTCTTTAGTTGTGTGGAACTGTTGCGGGTAATCATGATAATCATGGAGACAAGGGTAAAAGAAGGAGATGTTCGTCACATCATTGATAGGCTCCTGTTTGATGCGTAGAAGGACACCGAAACCATTGGGTACCATGGTGGCTTTTGGATGTTGTGGCGCTCGAATCTAGTTACGATTTAAGAGATTTGCCATATTAAGCAGGAAATCCACGTTCCTGTCGAGGTGCACCCTACAAATCATCTTTGATTTTTATCAGCAATTTATACTAGTCCTACGTATAAAGAAATAAAGATTTTATGGGAAACCCTTAAAACTGTTGCGACCAAGCATGATCTTCCATGGCTTGTTGTGAGGGACTTTAACGGGGTTTTATCCTTAAATGACAAAAAAGGTGGCAGACTAGTAAACTGCAATAGGCTACAAAAGTTGCATGATTGTTTAAATGCTTGTAATCTCGCAGCTTGGGCTATAAAGGTGCAAAATTCACCAGGTCAAACTTGAGGAATATTAGACACTTGATTCAAGAAAGAATCGATTACGCTTTTACAAACCCTGCTTGGAGGCTGTTGTACCCTGAAGTGGACGTCCTACACCTCGAAAGAATTCGATTTGATCACGCCCCAATTCTTATCTCCTTAAAGGGGAGAAGGCCAACAATTGAAAACTAGCCTTCTAAATTTCAGAGGATGTGGATTGATCATCCAGACTTTAATAACGTTGTGACGACTCACTGGGGTCTAAACAATTTATCTCTTGCTTAAATTGTCCAAGCCTTCACTAACAAGCTCGAGTTATTGAATAAGAAAACTTTCGGCCATATCTTGAAGAAGAAAAGGAGACCTAAGGCAAGCTTAAGGGGGATCGAGAGAACACTGGAGGACAGACCAAATGATTTTTTGCTTGCACTCCAGAAAACACTAATGAGAGAATACCAGGAAATCCTCAAGCATAAGAAACTGCTTTAGGCCATGAAATCAAGGGTTGAATGGTTGGTGGATGGGGAAAGGAACATGAACTTTTGAACGACGACACAGAAATGGAATAGGGGGCTATTTGACTCCAACGAGACGTGGATTACAAAGAAAGAGGACCTCAACCAGCTTATTATGGACCATTTCGGGACTCTTTTCTCAACCGTTAAGGTGTGCGAAAACTTATCCATAAATCTTGATGATTTAAATGGAATGCATTGACAAAAGAAAAAAGGCAAAGTTTGCAGGCCCAAGGTACTGAAGTTGACGTGAAAATGGCTCTCTGGTCCTTAAAACCTTTTAAGGCACCAGGGCCTAATGGGATACACCGCTTTTTCTACCAAAAGTTTTGAGAAGACGTTAAAGCGAAGATCAACACATCATGCATGGAGGCTTTCGATAATGGAAAGTTGTAGAAACATCTGAATGATACTATAATTACCTTAATTCTGAAGAATCAAGCTCCCAATACTGTAAATCACTTTCGGCCTATGAGCTTGCTCAACACCATGTACAAAATAATGATGAAATTAGGGTTCAAAGGTTGAGACCCTTACTGGACAAACTGATCTAGTCGCTCTAAGGCAGCTTTATACGGGGGAGATAGGCCATTGACAATGTGATCATTATGCAGGAAACAATCCATTCTCTGAAAACAAAGAAAGGGAAACAGGGAAATATGATTCTTAAACTCTATTTGGAGAAGGCTTATGACCGATTAGAGTGGGGTTTTATAAAAAAAGTTCTGACCTACTTCAAATTCCCAGAGAAATGGATATCTCTGATCATGGACTGCATTACATCTTCCAGCATAGCCATTGTGGTTAATGTGGAGAAACTCTTATAATTCAAACCCTCTAGAGGCATTCGACAAGGGGATCCTTTATCCCTTTCAATTTTTATTTTATGCATGGAATACCCCAGTTTGATGATTCAAGAAGTGTGCGAGGACAAGAAGTGGCATCCGATAAAGGTCTCAACGCAAGGACGCATATTATTTGTGGATGATGTTATTCTATTCGCAAGAGCAGATAAAAAGTCAACAGGCACAATCAAAAGGGTGTTGGACAAATTTAGTGAGGAATCTGGACAAAAAGTGAACACTAGGAAGTTCTGTATACTCTTTTCCAAGAACACCAAAGCTAAGACGAAGGGCTGGATCACCGTCACCTTGGATATTGAAAGCATAGAGGAGCTTGACAAATATTTGCGTTTCCCCATGCATAATTAAAAAAGGCCAAAAGCAGGACTTCAACTTTATTCTTGAGAAGGTCAAAAGTAAGCTTATGGGTTGGAAACCAAGTTGTTATCCCCAGCTGGCTGTACGGTACTCATACAGTCCACTACATCAGCTGTCCCTACTTCATGAAATGTAGAGCCCTTCCTAGTTACACTTGTCGTGAGTTGGATAAGATCAGTCAAAATTTTCTATGGGGAAGGGGAGAAGATAGCAGAAAACTTCACAAACTAAAATGGAGTGAAGTGACTAAGCCTAAGAAGGAGGGTGGTGGTCTTGGATTAAAAAGGAGCAAACCTTGAAACCAGACATAACTCACCTAAACTTTGTTGGAGGATGATACATTAGCAAGAAAATCTCTCGGTGAAAGTCCTGGCGAACAAATATCTTTTCAAGAAAAACCCCCAAACAACTCCAACTCTTCAATTGTATGAAAATCCATGAAGAAAAGTCATGCTTTCATTGAAAAAAGGATAATGTGGGTGATCAATGATGAAGCCAAGACAAATTTTTTGTTCGACAATTAGACGGGAAAGGGAGGCATGAGATCTCTCATTGAAAGACCACTTGAGCGAGAAAAAGAAAACATCTTGGTTAGGGACGTGTGGATCAATTGGGAAAATCATGGCTGTTTTAAGATTTCTTTTCAATTGCTTGAGAAGGTTCTCAACTTTATCTTGAGCATCCCTTTCTCCCTATGCCAGAATGGGGAGGATACTATATGTTGGAAATACTCAAGAACGGGAGAATTTTCTCTTAGTAGTGCCTACAAGCTTGTGGTAGATGAGGACTTCCAAATCCTAACTGAAGAAAAAGAGAAGTGGACATGGATATGAAGGCTAAATTTATATCCCAAACTTCATTTCTTTTTGTGGGAGTGCATGCATCGTATATTGCCTACTAAGGTGTTCCTTAGAGCTAGAGGAGTGGAGATCCAAGTGAGTTGCCCCTTCTGTCAAAAAGGGGACGAAACTCTTAGCCATCTTTTTACCAAATGCCCTATAGTTGTACCCTGGTGGACCTTTGTCAATGCCCCCCAGGGAAGCTACTCCAACTTTAACTCTTGGAGCAATTGGGTTAAAGCCAATGCTACATCAAAATTCATAACTATGAAGCATAATATCCCATGGAAGGTCATGTTCGCTTTTTTTCTGTGGGAAATTTGGAAAGCTAGAAACAAGCTTGTCTTTAAAGGTAATTTTGAACCAACAAGGGTTGTGGCTAAGGCCATTTGAACGTGCCTATGAATTCCAAGCTTTGACGGGCAAAACGAAAAGAATTCCACTTCTTTCCTTTACTGAGGTCCAATGGAAACCCCCCTCCCCAAAGCTGGCACAAGCTTAACACAGATGGATCATCCCTTGAAAATCCTGGCAAGATAGGAGCTGGATCAGTCCTTCGTAACCACTCAGGGCAGTTGCTTGCTGGATCTTCACGACATATACCAAGGGCCACCAGCGTGGAAGCAGAATTGTGGGCCCTTAGGGATGCCCTCAAAATGGCCAGTGAAGCGGGTGTTCAGAAACTTGTGGTTGAATTGGATGATATAGTGGTGATAAACCTGATTAATAATCTTGACCACACCAAGATGTTTCTGAATACTCTTATTTGTGATTGCAGGATAATATTGAAGAGTTTCCAACAGACAGTGTTGATGCATACCTTCCATGAAGGAAACAAAAGTGCCGATGGTCTTGCTAGGAGGGGAAGCGAGGCCTTGCAGGAATCTTCCTCCTATGTTTCCAATGTTTCTAGTCCTTTTCTTTTTGAGTTCTTCCCTACCCCCTGCTTGTATTATCCTTTTTTATTAGCTGAGATTGATGAGATAATGATGTATCGTACTTTATTTTCATGATCTATGAATGTTTCCTTTCTCGACCAAAAAAAATTGGAAATTTTCCAACAGAGATTATGAATACTTTCAAGGCAATGCCATGTAAACCTTCTCTACTTGATCAAACGTCACATTTTGCTCATAAAGACATCCCATAACTCTTAATTCAAGTGGCTTCCAATACCATTTACAAGCTACAAGCAAATGAAAAACCAAGTTAAATTAAAATTCCTCTACACTTTCTATATCCCTAATTTCCTCTGTACAGAAATAGATCAATAGAAAATAAAATTCAAAATGCAATGGATAAAAACCATTAACATTCACAAAAGAAACCCTAAAATTTAGCATACTAATTTTTTGGCCAAAGTGGCTTGAAATGCACGGTCAAACAATTCTTCCCTCCTTTATAAATCTGTCAAGAGAAAAATCAAATAAATAATCACCGGGCAATTAACAAAAGGGAAAATCAAAACCAATTAATTATTAATTCATAAATATAAAATGAAAGATTCAAATTACATCAAAAAATTTTCATAATTTTTTTAATTATTAATTTTAATAAATTTAAAATTTTTAATTTTTAATTTATCTCTCTTATCTGTTAAATTTATTAAAAACAATAATAAAAAAATTAACACCTTTTAATTTTGTATTAATACAAATTAATCCCTCATATAAAAAAAACATATTAAAAATTTATATTATATATAAATTTTAATTTAATATTTTTAATAATTATTTTTCATTTCAGTATAAATTTTCCCTACTGATCTTAAATTCAATCATGTACTCTTTTCACTATTTTTTTTAATGTCATTAAAATTAATCTCACAATTGTCATTATCAATATCGTGTAAACGAAGCCTTAAACTTCAACGTTGCACCGTTCAAAGTCAAAGGGCTGTCCTGTCAATTTAACGTGTTTTAAACTTAAAAATGGATTTTCAATAATGTTTTGACACGTAGAGAACCTATGAAAAGGATTGACCGGGATTCCAGCTGAAGTGACCGAGATGTTTTTTTCTTTTTGATAATGAGAATCTGGGAGAAAATTCAGCTTCCTTAGTCAGAGGAAAGCAAATTACGACCATTATACCACTAGGAACTTGAAACCTGGCTTGACCAGCGGTGTGAAGGGCAAGAAGGAAGGAGCTGTGGTTCTTGACTTCTTTGAGGCAGCAGTATGGCTGAGATAGTTTTGAGCCCTCTGTTGCAGGTGGTGTTTGAAAAGCTAGCCTCTCGGGTTTTGAGAGAGGTTGCTGATCGTTGTGGGTTCAAGGATGAGATCCAGAAGCTCCAACGTGCGTTGCGGATGATCCAAGCTGTACTTGAAGACGCAAAAGAGCGGCAAGCTACTGATAAAGCTTTGAATTTGTGGTTATCTGAGCTTAAAGAGGTAGCTTATGATGCTGATGACTTGCTTGAAGAGTTTAGCCTAGAGGCTATGCTGCAAGAAATTGACAATAGTTTTACTGAGCAGATGAGCAACATCGTCCCCTCTTTGAAACCTTTTATAACATACCTCAGAAAATTGCCTGAATTAACACAAATAAGGGAGAGACTAGACGTGTTATTGGAAGAAAGGTCCTTTTTCAAGCTCAAGGAAAAAGTTGGTGATAAAGATATGAAACGTGGACAGAAAAGAGAGACTGGGTCTTTTGTGATTGAATCTGAAGTCATCGGAAGGGAGGAAGATAAAGAAAAGATAATAGAGATGTTACTGTTAAATACTGAGAGAAGTTCTAACAGTACTACCAGAGTTGTCTCAATTATTCCAATGGTTGGTTTAGGGGGCATTGGTAAAACCACTCTTGCTCAAACAGTCTATAATGATGAGAGGGTGATGAGAAATTTTGAGCTGAGGATGTGGGTATGTGTTAATGATGATTTCAGTGTAAGAAAGATTGTTAACTTGATGATAGAATCTGCAACTAGGGGAAGATGTGATGATCTTTTGGGAATGGATGTTCTTCAGTTTCAACTACGAGATTTATTGTTTGAGAGAAGATATTTGCTTGTATTGGATGATGTATGGAACGAGGATGAGGATGAATGGGATAAGCTTAAAATTTTGCTAAAGTTTGGAGCATACGGAAGCAAGGTCATAGTAACAACAAGAAGTGCAAAGGTTGCAGGAATAATTGGAACAGCGTCTTCTCACCATCTTAAGGGTCTGTCTGATGATGATTGTTGGGCTTTGTTCAAGCAACGTGCCTTTGCTCACGGCCAAGAGGATTATCCGTACTTGGTCCAAATTGGGAAACAAATAGTGAAGAAGTGCGGGGGAGTCCCTCTAGCTGCAAAGACCCTGGGTAGTCTAATGCGCTTCAAAAGGGAGCCAGAGGAGTGGCTATCTGTGCAGGAGAGTGATCTATGGAATGTATGTGAAAAAGAAAATGGGATATTGCCGGTCCTAAGGCTGAGTTATAGTCATTTGCCATCAAATCTGAAAGGATGCTTTATGTATTGCTCTATATTTCCTAAAAATTATGTCATCAAGAGAGATATGTTAATTCATCTTAGGATAGCAGAAGGCCTCATTCAACCGACTGAAGAAAGAAAATCTCTAGATGATATAGGAAACGAATACTTCAATGACTTAATGTGGATGCTTTTCTTTGAAGATGTGAAGAAAAATGATGTCGGTGATTTAACAGAATGCAAAATTCATGATCTTATTCATGATCTTGCAAAATCTGTTGCAGGAGAAGAGTACTTTGTATTCGAACATGGGTGCATGTCAAGAAATTTGGCTAAACTTCGCTACGTGTCTGTGGTCTGCGATTCTGGGTCCTGTACTATTCCAGAAGCCTTGTACGAGGCTAAGAAATTGCGAACTCTCATTTTATTATATCCAAAAGGTGACCTTGGTGAAATCCCAACCAAGTTGTTTTCAAGTTTTAGGTATCTGCGAGCCCTGGATTTGGGTAATTGTGGCATCAAAAGGGTTCAAAGTACAATTTCTTCCTTGAAATATTTGAGGTACCTCAACCTTTCAAACACCTTGATGGAAATATTACCGGAAAGCATATGCAGCCTTCATAACTTGCAGGTGCTGAACCTATTAGGTTGCGCTGATCTCATTGACCTACCAAGGGGGTTGGCACGACTGGGCAAACTGAGACATCTTATAATAAATGGTTGTGAAAGATTAACTCGCTTGCCAGCTGGTATTTTTAAACTTATTCATCTTCAGACATTGCCATTGTTCATTGTTGCACATGAGACTAATAATCTCAGGGAGAATGCTAATCTCGGAGAGCTGAAGCGACTGCAGCTAAAAGGTGAGCTGACAATTAGAAAACTGGAAAATGTGAAGAAATCATTTGTAGCTAATGCAAACTTAAAAGAGAAAAACCTTCATTCTTTGGAGTTGTCATGGGGAGATGATCATGAAGGTTTGAACTTGAACATGAACAATGATTCTCTTTGCAAAATGGGAGAGATTGTGCTCGAGTGTCTTCAACCACCCCCAAAACTCAAAAGTTTGACCTTAAAAGGATATCCAGGAATTTGCTTTCCAAGATGGATGAGTACTCTCAGACTTCCTGGCTTAACAAAATTGGACTTGATCAACTGCAAAAGATGTGAAAATCTCCCTACTCTAGGTAAACTTCCATTCCTAGAGATTATCCACATGCGTGGAATGGATGCTGTGAAGAATATTGGCAGTCAGTTTTATGGGGAAGACAGTAGGATATTGTTTGGATCTTTAAAGGAGCTTACTCTCATAGACTTCCCCAATTTGGAACGCTGGTGGAGTATAAGTGGAGGTGAAGAATTCCCCTCACTTGTCAAATTAACCATCAATAAATGTCCTAAGTTGATGATTATGCCAAAATTTTCATCTCTTAGGCATTTGGAGTTGCATAACTGCCACGAAACGATACTAAGGTTAGCAGTAAATATAACCTCACTTTCTGTCCTCATTATTGATGTTTTCACCGGACAGTTGAGTATATTGGATAACTTGCTTCAAAACAATGTTCATCTCATGTCTCTAACTATCAGCTCTTGTCCCAATCTACGCTGCATCCCTTCTAGTTTGGGGAACCTTGTCTCTCTAAAATCATTGACAATTTGTTGGTGTGAGGAGCTCTTATCTTTGCCACCGCAATTGGAAAACCTCACCTGCCTGCAGTCTCTGGAGATCAGTGAATGTCATAGCCTTTCAGCTTTACCCCAGAGCATAGATGGGCTAATCTCCCTTAAATATTTGTCCATTGAGAACTGCAGTAACATAAGATCATTACCAATAGGACTGCAACATCTTAGTTCTCTTGAACACTTAACGATTATGTACTGTCCAAGTCTGGTGTCTTTGCCAACTGACTGGCATGACCTTTCCATGCTGAGGAGTTTGTGCATTTTATGCTGTCCAGAGCTGTCATCTCTGCCTGAAAGTATTAAACATGTCACGACTCTGCAAAATCTGGAAATCCATGGTTGTACTGGTTTAAATGTGTTGCCAGAGTGGATTGCAAACCTTTCACTTCTTAGATCTTTGGCGATATCAGATTGTCCCAATATGACATCACTTCCAGATGGTCTTCAGTGCCTGAGCAACCTCCAACGTCTTTCCATTCAAGAATGTCCAAGGCTTGAAGAGCATTGCAAGAAAAATATAGATAAGGACTGGCCAAAAATAGCTCACATTGCCCATATTTACATCGGATCACCAGAGGTCAGGAAAGAGAATGTTGCCAGCAGCTCATTGCGCTGAAGTAGAATACATATCAGAAAATCTGGTCATGCTCTTGATATGTCCGACTTCATTCTCCTCTTTTAATTGCCTCTCATTCAAGTATCTTTTGACAATGCTCCATAGAATATTCTTGAATATGTTTTTAAATTTTTTTTTTTAAAAAAAGGCCTTTTGAATCTAACAGACCGAGTCTTGAGCAGGGGTTTTGAAAGACCGATCATGGCTATTTATTATCATTTAGTTCTTCTAACCTAATATGAAATATTTTAGATTATTCAACAAAAATATGAAATATTTTCAATAATGGTTAGTTATTTTTATGTCCTATTAATATTTATAGCGAAACATATTTAAAATGATAATTTAAAATTATAATAACATATATGTCCATTTTCATTGATAAAAGAGTTTTACGTTTCTATATAAAATTATAAATAAAAACATATAAAGTTGTTTATTTATTCAAATATAATATAAATAAAAACATATAAGGTTCTAATTAATAGTCTGTGTACGGAAACAATTTCCAATTCTTGTAATAGTATAAGTAATTAATGGAAATAAGGCTGTAAAATGATTGTGAACAGTTTTTTTTGTTTTAATGTGTGAAAATGATTAATTGATGAAGCTCATAGACTTACCACTTTTTTTTTTTTTTTGTCTTCAACCTGGTGCAAATTTTTGAGTAGTTTCCAGCCGAGGAAAGTTTAGCGCCACGAATTATCAATTACCAAATCTGCGTTTGTGCCTCCTCGAAAGCAACAAAGTTTCTGCATTTTTCTTGTGCTAAGGAATGCTTACAGCATTGGCAAAATTCAGCCACAGAGCAAAGAGACCATTAGAGAAGATAGAGCACTTAAAACTCGGTCTCATGCACGTTTACTATGTAATTGCAATAGGACCATAATTCCCTAGGATTGGAAAGGTAGAGGGAGGAGCTAGACATAAGCCTTTGCGCACAATCTTGACAAATGTATTCAAAAATAATAATTGATCCTATTTGCATTTCAAAAGTAAGAGGTCAAGAAGTTTCAACATTATCTATCTGATTGTAGGACAGAAATTTTGACACTTTCAAGAGACATCCTGTACACTGTATAATTATGCCTGAGCTTTTATTTCTGAAACTCCGAGTACACAACTTTAACATCAGAAAATACTAGGACTCATTAGATGAGGCCGCATTGTCCTTATGCTCGATCATAACAGAATCCATAAGAATGGGAATCTCTGCAGCAAGCCATGCAGCAAGACCCAAACAAAGTTCATGTGTCACGGGTCGAGACTTAAGCTTCGAATTCGCGCGGTTCCGGGACCCGGACATTCATCCTTCCAGCATCTCGGATCAGCTTGACCGCCACGGTTCACACCCTTATGAGGTATTGTCCGCTCTGGCCCCCTGCCTCACGGTTTTGTCCTACAAAAGGCGCCTCACAAGGCAGAGATGGTGTGAACCCTTTTATACCCAGGGACCTTCCTATTATGTTCGATGTGGGATTCAGGACTCCCCCTTAGGTCCGTGACATTCTCCCGCACCCAACCTCATGACGCCCTCATCACGGAGGCCGGCCACCCTGCCTACCTCCCTCGAGGCGCTCAGCGTGGATCGAACGGTTTAGGGTTGGCTCTGATACCACTTGACACGGGTCGAGACTTAAGCTCCAAACCCGCGCGGCTCCGGGACCCGGGCATTCACCATTCCGGCATCCCGGATCAGCCTGACCGCCACGGTTCACACCCTTGTGAGGTATTGTCCGCTCTGGCCCCCTGGTCTCACGGTTTTGTCCTACAAAAAGCGTCTCACAAGACGGAGATGGGGTGAACCCTTTTATACCCCAGGGACCTTCCTATTATGTTCGATGTGGGATTCAAGACTCCCCCTTAGGTCCGTGACACATGTGCTATACCAAACCTAGGACTGCACAACAAGATCAGAGAAGAAAGAACCATTGAGCAACAATTACAGTAGAAACAATGAGAATATGCACGGAAGTCAAAAGATACGACACCAATTATCTTTAGTCTATTGTTGAATTCTAGGTAATCTAAAAGGTTGAGCAATGAGATCCTTGAACTTCCATTTCTCATTCCATGATTACCACCTAATAATTTAGTTAAATAAGTATGAAGCATGCCACACCATTACAAAAAACTACACTGGAATTTTTTAAAATGGCTGCCTGACGTAAATGTTGCATAATACTAACCCATTAAAATCCCTCTTTTAACACTTACTCGTCATGGCTTGATCAGCATTGCCTTCTATATCTTCATCTAGCTTTCCATCTAACTTCAGCTACTATTTCCTCAACGGTTTTAATCCAACTCAACCTAGCTTTGCTGCTACCCAGTAGGTTGCATTACCAAGAACTATCACTGTTAATTATTTGCCTGCATCGGACAAATGTTGAAAGTGGCACAAATAATTTGCTCATTCAACAATGTAAATTTAAAGGATGATTGTTATACTTCAAATGGAATTTTTCCTACAAAGATTATGAATACTTTCAAGCCAATGTCATGTAAACCTTCTCTACTTGATCAAAGGTCACATTTTGCTCTTAAGTACATCCATACATCTTAATCGATGCCATTTCCCGTCAAAACCCAGCAGCTAGATTAGTAATTGCAAACTACAAGCAGATAAAATACCAAGTTAAATTAAAATTCCTCCATACCTTCTACAACACTAATTTCCTCGATTCCGAAATAGATCAATAGAAATTAAAATTCAACAGATGAAACCAATCAACAATCACAAAACAAAACCTAAAATTCAGCATACCAATCTTTTGCCCAAAGTGGCTTGAAATGCACGGTCAAACAAATCTTACCTCCTCTATACATCTGTCAAAAGGAAAATCAAACAAATAGTTACCAAACCAAGCAAATAACAAAAAAGAGAAACCAAAACCAAAATCAAATTTCACCTTCTGAGTCTTGCCATCGAGTTGGGGCAACTCAAGTTCGGGAGCAGTGGCCGGATAAGTAACGGGTATATCAAACTGGAGATCGAACTCATACTTGAGGAGGTTATGGACGGACCAGCACTTGCCGGTCCAACATGTCCCTTCGGGATTGGCTGGAATCAATCGTTGTCGTTGCATTTGTTCATTTGGGTGTAGGCGATCAGAGCCCTGTACTATTCTTTCAGCCTCTGAGTCCATACAGCTCCGTCTCTGGGGCCCGCCTTCGTCGTCAGTATCGGGATCTGGGTCAGCGTCGACTTCGTATTCGGGTGTCCCAGCCTTCCATTTCCTGTTTTCCCTCTTTCGCTAACCCTTCCTAAACCCTACATTTGATACTTTTTTTTTTTAATTTTTTGGATAAGTAATTTTTATTCATTATCCAAGAAGCGTTAGAACTACTACCAACCAACAATTACATACTGTAAAACTTTTTACACCACCAAATGAGTCCCTACTTAACTCCCAGCTCTCACATGGTTCTTTGTTAACACGATCATAAGCTATATTTTTTAGGCCAATCAATCGTAATCTAATCACATCTTTGATTTTTTTTAATATTGCTCCCCTGTGAGCTCCACTGACTTGTATATACGTGCATTCTTTTCTGCCCAAATCCAGTATATGTACGCCTCCCACGCCAGTCGTAGTATGACTGAGACCAAAGCTTTCCCTCGTAGTCTACTAACTGCCCTCTCTAGCTTATTTTCCCGTCCCTCAGCTTCTTTCTGTAAATTACACAGGTGCAGTACCTGTTGCATACCCTCTTAGAGTATCTACAATTAAAAAAAATGTGGTCCCTAGTCTCCTTCTCTTGCTTACAGAGTACACAATCCCCATCAGTGTGAATTCCCGGAGAAACTAGTCGATCTTTTGTTGAGAGCCTATCAAGAGTAGCCACCCAAGTAATTACAGCATACTTTAGTATGTGAAATTTACACCAGACAAGCTTATGCCAATTTCCTTTCATTTGCCATTCTCTTATTTCTTCCCACACACTTGCAGTCGAGTAGCTAGAACCTTTATTATTCCAAACTATTCCAGTATCTGCTTGTGTCAGAAATTTGCTTGCAAAACTTCTTATCTGAAGCAACTTCCTCGTACACCAGCTATGACTTTGAGTTTCTGGAATTTCCCAAATGTTTCTTCCCTTTAACACATATGTGTATCCACGCAAAGCCTGCTTGTGTAAAGATAGACTATAGAAGCCTAATCATGCAGGCTTTGTTCCACGCACCAACATCTCTCAATCCCAACCCTCCTTCTGACTTTGGTTTACATATTGCTTATCATCGTACTCGGGCTTCCTTTGCTGTGCTTGATTGGCTTTTCCAGAAAAATGCTGAACAGAGCTAGTTGACCCTTTTGATTACTTTTTTTGAAAGAACAAAATGCTTGCACCAGTAGTTATGAATACTAAAAAAGACAGATTAGATCAATTATAATCTACCTGCCTAAGACAAATGTCTTACTGTCCAGCTATGAATTCTTGCTATGATCCTCTCAATTAGTGGCATACAATCTGTCATAGTAAGCCTTCGCGGCACCAGTGGAATCCCAAGATATCTAACAGGAAGTTTTCCCATCTTGAACCCCGCGACTTTTAGGATTTCTTCAAGCTCAGTTCCTGGAATCCCTGTATACTCACTCTTTGCACTATTTAGTTGTAGTCCAGAATAAGTATAAAACTGCTTTAGTATGACTTGAATTTCCTTAATAGAATCCAACTTCCCTTTTATGAAGATAAGGAGATCATCAGCGAAACACAAGTGTGTCAAGTTCACCTTCTTGCATTTAGGATGGTAAGAAAAAATGCCATAGGATGCAGCACTATCCAGTAACCTGTCCAAAACATTCATAGCAATAACAAATAAGTATGGTGACATAGGATCCCCCTGCCTTACTCCTCTTGCCCCCTTAATATCCCATCAAGCCTCCATTGATTGATAAAGAAAACATTGGTGAAGTGAGACAGCTTTTTATCCGACCAACGAACCTTTTTGGAAATCCTATTGCCTCTAAAACTGAGATTAAAAATTCGCAACTTAAAGAGTCAAATGCTTTCTTTAAATCAATTTTAATGGCACACCTTGGAGACATGGTAGCTCTACTATAACCTCTCACCAATTCCTGCGCCATAAATACATTGTCTATTATGTTTCGCCCCTTTATAAAGCCACTTTGACTGTTACTGATTAGGGTTGGCATAAATTGTTGCATTCTGGTAGCCAGTATCCTTGTTATACTCTTGTAAATAATAGTACAGCAAAATGTTGGTCTATAATCAGAAATGCTAGCTGGAGATGGGCTTTTTAGTACCAAAGTTATTATTGTAGAGTTGAAAGCAGGTAGCATATCGTTAGTTTGAAAGAAATATGATACAGCTACAATGACATCCTCCCCTACTATACTCCATGTAGACTTGAAGAAATGGGCATTGAAACCATCAGAACCCGGCGCTTTATCACTATGTTAAGTAAAAATAGCTTCCTTAATTTCTTCCCTTGTAACATTTTGTGATATTGCTGTCCGTTGCTTGTCCGTCAAGGATACCTGGAGTAAGTCAGTCCACAATTCTTTCTTGCAGCCTTCAACATTAGCATCAGTTGTGCCCATCAACTGCTTAAAAAATCCCACAGCCTCATCTGATATCTGTGAGAAGTATCCAACCTATTTCCATTACTGTCATGCAGTACCTATAATTGCTTCTCCTCTGCCTTGCTGCCACTATTTTGTGAAAGAAACTTGTATTTTGGTCTTCTTCTTGCACCCATCTAATTTTTGACTTCTGTCTCCCTAAGCTTTCCTCTGCTTTCAACAGTTCAAAGAGTTCCAAGGACAGTTTCCTCTCATTCTCTGCATCAGCCTTAGGTGATTGCATTAAAGTTGCAAGTTGTGCTGCTGCTAACTCTTCTTTTTTCATTCTTACCTTCTTTGTTAGATCTCCGTATTGAGTGAAGTTGAAATTCCTTAGCATTGGCTTCGGCCTCTTTAATTTCTTTTGCAATACAACCATAAGTTTACCACTCACTGGTACAGTCCAAGATTCCTCCACTAGCTTTAAGAACTCAGGGTGCTTTACCCAAAAATGGAAGAACATAACTGGTTTTTGTGGTGATTGTCTCAATGTAGTCAACTTTATAAGAGCTGGGCAATGGTCAGATACTTCAGGGAGGAGGAATTCAACTTCTGAATTTGGTATTTGCGTGAGCCATATATCATTGATTAGTCCTCTATCCAATTTCCCTGACAATGTATGATTGCTTCAAGTAAAAAGAGGCCCTGTATAAAGATGATCTAGAACAGTCAGTTTCTACAAGCATTCTTGAAAAGCTTTTGTACTGGAGCTAGATATTTGGACTCTCCGAAGAGTGAGCCACAACATTAACATCTCCAGCCAACATCCATGGAAAGCTTTCTAGAATACTTTTGAGAGAAATCAAGTGCATCCATAGTCTTTTCCTTTCATCCTCACTATTACACATTTATATAGCTGTGAAGTATAGCTTATGAGTGCCATGTAAAATGCTACATGTAATGCTTGGGTCAGTTGTATCGACTAAATCAATTGTTAACTCATCCTTCCATATCATCCATATTCTTCCATTATAAGCAGTGGCATAGTTATGATGAATGGCCCAGCCAACAAAGTTATTGTTCAGAACTTTCTGCATGTTTTGTTGCTTCACTCTTGTTTATAACAAACAAGCCATCTCTACTTTTTCTCTTCTGATCCTACCTACATCCTCTCTTTGTTTCAGAGGATCATTTAGTCCTCTGACATTCCAGCTAAGCACATTCAGGATGAAAAGGGAAAGGATGAATGACCTCCTAGAATAGAGTGTTCCACCCTAACGCGTTAGTTTTTCCCTTTATCAATAGGACCCTTTTTCTTATTCTTCAACTGTTTCATCAAATCTGCAACTCCTGCTGCTGTCGCCTTTACTTTCTTAAGTGAATTAGGAATAATTCCTTCCTCTCTCGTCTTGCTAGCCTTAGGCACAGCCAATTCCAGATTCATATCAGCACTCCCGTCCTTCTCAATTACTGCTTCTAGTATAGCAAATCTATTTATGGATCCTCACTTTGCTAACTGCATTGATTCAACTCGCAGCTTGCCTCTCTCAGAAGTACTCTCTGGCCCTGACTTTGCTACTTGCATCGGTTCAACTTGCAGCTTAACATTCTTAGAATTAGCCTCTGGCACAGCTTCCTTCACTTCCTTAGCTCGTTGCTCCTTAGATTTCTTTGGCTGCCACACCCTAGCTTCTGCTACCATAGGCCTATTCATACATGATTTGTCTGAATGCCCAAAAACTTTGCAGTGCTGGCATTTTGGAGGATGCCATGAGACTTCCGCTTAGATAGAAGCCAGTGTGCCATATTGGAGTACCACATCAATGTACCTAGGTATATCCACATTAACCTCAATTTCCACACAGATTTTTGCATAAGCAAGCCCTTCAAAGTTTGCTGTAATTTTATCCATGTATAGTGGAATGCCTAATGCACTGGCTGTATAGCTTAGCCCTTTCTTAGTATACAGCTCCAATGGAACATTCTTAAGATGTATCCAAGCAGGTATCCTGTTCATCTTAAACTTCAAATTCCTTAACCTCGGCTCCCATTTTCAAACTATAGATTTGATACTTTTTTTTTTTTTTTTATCGTTTGATTGAAAAGAAGTTTTACCTGAAAAATAAATTGTGAATTATTAAAATTGAAAGGAATTTTTAATTAAAAAATCCAATAAAATCGATTTAATTTGTTAAAAGTGTGGACAAAGTAATTTTAGTTTCTTTCACTTAAAAAGCTTGAAAAAAATTTTCAATTTTCTTAATTTTTTAAAAGAAAAAATTCAAAATTTTAATTATATTCATATTTTATATATTTTTATCTTAAATATGATTTTATGTTAATAAAAACTTAAAAAGATATTTACAACACACGACTTTTAATGTTAGTTGCGCTCATAGTCAGATCGTCAGCTTTTGCATTTTTAATAAATACGCAATATTTCTTACTTAAAGAAATTGAATCATTGATTAAACATGTCTCAGGAAAAATTTTTCTTCACTCAACCAAATTCTATCACACTGTAAATGTTACATTTGATCCATGTGTGCAAAAATGTCAATTGATCGATGAGCAAAGATATTAAAATCATGTAATACAGTGACATTTTTATTTAAACATAACATCTATCTAAGTCTTAAATCATAAAATAAGATTTTTTTGAAGTAAAAATTTATTGGATATAAAAGAAATAAAAGTTTATTTGAAAAAATTTGAAAAAACTTACTTATATTTTTACATCACATCAGCAAAAATTTTAATTATTATTTTTACAAGTTTGATGAGTTAATCAATTACATTATCCTCTTTAAAATTTAAAATTAAATAGGACAAATTACGTATCCGTAATTTATCTTGCTTTATTCTTTTAATATACAAAAGGAGTTTAAAAATGTATTTGATATATAAGATTATAATGATAATATATGATAAGATAATATTAAAATTACTATTAAATATAATATATATTATATTTCAGAATACATTAATATCTGATAAGGTATGTCACGTGAATGTTTATATGAATAACTTATATTTTTTACATGTAAGATAATAATTACAAAATACATTAATGTATGATAAGATATGTCACATGAATGCTTACATGAATAACCTATATTTTTGACATGTACAATAATAATTGAATTTAAATTTTTAACTAAATAATCCCATTCAATAATTATTTCATTTTAAAAAATATTTGAAAGTTTAAAAATTAGATTTATTTTAGTATTTTAAGAGTTTTATTTTAATTTAAATCAGATAAAATTTATCCTAAATTCACTTTTTTCAAATATATTTAGAATAAAATCAATAATTTTATTATTTCTTTTTTAAAATGAATTATTAAACCATCTATATATCTTTTTTTAAATTAAAAAAATATAATTTAGATATATCTCTAACAATCTAGATATATGATCCCTTTTTAAAAATATATATAATTTAAATATATCTTTAACAATCTAGATATATCTGTTTTAAATTTAAAAATTTTAAATATAAATTTATTTTTATAAATTTACTAATAAATTTTTAAAGATCAAATATCATTTATTTTACTATTTAATGTGGCACCTCGATAAAATATTTTTATGTTAAATTTCTCCTATTACTCATTTAGTCCATCAATTGCACATTACTGTGGCATTAGTTGTAATTGTATCAAATAAAATATCATCTTCATCTCTTTCATTTATTACCAATTGCATATATTCTTGTTTGATTTTGGGAAACTATCATTTTGATTTTTAGCAGTTGTTTAATGGTTGAAAGGGATGTTAATTACAAAATACCAAACCTAGAGCTTTGAGGGTTTTTGTTGGCAATTGATATTCCTTCTAAAAAAACTAGTGTGACAAAAGTTTTTTTACCAAATTCGTTATACTTGATCAGTAATTATAATTTTGTCATTAATTTGTGGGATTTTTGCGCTATAGTGGCCTTATTCTAGAACTTGCTTTCAGGAATACTAGGTTTTATATTAAGTTGCAGGAATTGAAACTTCAAAATCGATCATCCCATCAAACAGAACAATAGTTTTATCAAGTAAAAATCAATAAAATTTATACTAGTTGTCATAACAAATAAATCCAAAAATCTATAGTTAGATTTAACAAAAAAAGTCACCACTAATCTTTTTTATCTAGGTGTGATTGACCACCTAAGAAATTTATCTTCTTAAGGAGTTCTTAAGCTTGACTAAAGGTTTTTAAAGAATAGGTTCGGTCTACAAACCATAATAGAGTTCGAAAGTTCGGTTACATGTGAAAAATGTTATAACAACTTCACATGCCCATTTAAAAGATAGTACCATATTATTTTAAATTTATCCTAAGGTCTTGAGTCTAATGGTTTTAAATTTTTATGTCAAAATATTAAAAATAATTCATAAGATTCTTTCATCAATCTGATATAATTCTTAAAAATATTTTTTCACCTCAAGAGTATTCAAAAATCTCATTGTTTTCTTGAAGAGGCTCCGTCGTCGAAAAAAGGTTTAATTATTAATTATTTTTATTATAAAAAATATATCTAATTATTCCATCATTTGGACCAAACTAGAAATATTTTTTCTTTTTGAATTTCTAAATTTTTAACCATTTGGACCTATTTAGAAATTCTTTTTATTTCTTTTTTTTGAAAAGAAAATAATATGACAATTATTTTTATTCAAATTTCATCTAAATTATTCCACAATTTGGGACAAATTTAGAGAAAATTTCTCACATAAAGATTTCATAAGAATTTATCATTTGAAATTTTTAAGAATCTCATCATTGGGTAATTATCATATATTTTCAACCAAAATTTTATTTGGAAAAGAATATAATTACTTTTATTAAAATTTCATCCAAATTATTTTACCATTTGGAACAAATTTAGATAAAATTTTTCACCTAGAGATTTTTTAAGAATTTACTATTTGAAATTTCTAAGAATCTCATCCTTGGATGATTTGTATTTATTCCAAAATTTTTATATTTTTTATTTTTTTTGTTTGAAAATAAATATTAATTATTGTTATTGAAACTTTATTTAAATTATTCTACCATTTGGGACAAATTTAGACAAAATTTTTCACCTAAGAATTATATAAAAATTTACCATTTGAAATTTCTATAAATTTCATCATTGGATAATTAATATTTACTCCGAAAAATATTTTATTTTTATTATTTTTTTAAAACTTATTATTATTATTATTTTTTACAAAAACTTAAAAATAATCAAACACATAAATAAAAAATAAAAAATACCAAAAAAATAGAACAGCTCGGCTGAATAGCTTCAGCGCAGCTCAACTTCAGAAATAAAAAGTGGCTCGAAAGTGCAACTCGGGGGGGCTCGGCTCGGCTCAACTAAGGGTGTAATCGATCAAGTTCAAGCTCAAGCTCAATTCGAAATTCAAGGCTTGAAACTCAACTCGAACTCCATCAAGTTTTATTTTTCTTGCTCAAGCTCGACTCAAGTAGAAATCGAGCTACTCGAGCTTGCTCGATTAGGCTTGATTAACATGTAAAAATAAGCTCGATTCTTATATTCAACAAAAGATCGATTATTTATGCTCGAGTTCAAGATATTTTATTAATTAAAATAATAAAAATATATTTAAATATAAAAACTCGATTAGGCTAGCAAGCTATTCAAGCCGGGTATAAGAATAATCAAACTTAGCTTGATCGATGAGTCGAGCTACTCAAACTCAAGCTCAACTCGATAATAATCGAACTGAATTCGAGTTTTATTCGAATCGAACTCAAGTAGCTTGTGAGCTCAAGCTCAACTCGATAATAATCGAACTGAATTCGAGTTTTATTCGAATCGAACTCAAGTAGCTTGTGAGTACTAATATATCATTTACACCTCTAGGCTCAACTGCAGAAACCGACTGGGATACGAGTCGTAGAAGCGAGTTGATACACGGGTTGGGTCACCCACTAGAAAATGCGTGGATCCTAAAATTTATTTAAATGCCAAAACGATGTCATTTTGGGACGATATAAAAGGCAAAAAATTTTATTTTTTCTTTCAAATTTTTCTTCTATTTTTTCTCTTTTTTTTTCTCTCTTATTCTCTCTTCTAACCTAGAAATTTGGTTGAATATCTCATCGAAAATTGGGAAACAGTGCCAAAAATTGGAAAATATTCATTGAAAAAGATGAATCTCATCGAAAAAGTTTGTCGAAATCTAGAAATTCAAAAATTTTCTAGAAAAAAATTACCAAAAATTTTTTAAAAATTTTTAAAAAATTATAGGATTGCTTCTGCTTTTCTAAACAACTTTTTTTTGCTTATGTTTTCTCTGTGTATCTTTTAAAGCTTGGCTAAGGTCTATATTTATAGGATAGAATCCAAAGCCGAATAGAAATCCTAATTCTTTATGAACTTTTAGTCTCATTCAACCTCTTCCAATCCATCCCAAACTTTTCAACCCAAATTTTCACAAATTCAACCACTTTTTTTCATTTTTATTATTTTTATTTTTTAATTACCAGAATTAATCTTGTAGACCCCCAAACAAATTGAGGTATCTATAGCTTCCCCTATTTATGTATTTTTTGTGAAGCATGATTGTATAAATACATAGACAACCTAATCAACTCAACACACTTTTTTATTTTTTAATTTTTTTATTTTTTTATTTTTGAAAAAGTAGACAAAACTCCTCTAAACAAAGACTCAACGACTTTTAAAAATAAAAGGTTCATCTAGACAGAGGCATAACAACTTTGAAAAAATAAAATGCTTCTTTAAACAAAGGCACCGTAACTTTTGAAAGAATAAATTGCTCATTTAAATAAAGGTACCATAACTTTGAAAAATAAATTATTCCTCTAAACAGAAGCACTACAACTTTGAAAAATAAATTGCTCCTCTAAATAGAGATACCACAACTTTGAAAAATAAATTACTTTTCTAAACAGAGGCACCGTAACTTTGAAAAATAAATTATTCATCAACAATCATGTCCAGAGAAGTATAGATCGTGTCTAAAGGAATTTTAAGAGATTATGC